ATGCGCAAGATGCTCCATCTTAGCGATGACTACGCCATCACGCCCGCTGTCCGTACTGACGAGCTTGGCCTGGACTCTCTCGTTGCTGTCAGAATCCGATCCTGGTTTCTCAACAACTTCCAAGTCAACATCCCCGCGCTGCGAATTCTCAAGGGTGAAGCCCTCCAGGGCCTCATTAACCACGCCGTGGAAGAGATCCCGGAAGAGCTAGCACCGAAGCTGTTCTCCTCCTCGCCATCCTCGGAAGAGTCATCTCAAAAGTCTGGCACACCGCCTTCAACGGCTCCTGAGACAGAGAATTCTTCTGTCGTTAATGGCGATCTCGAAATCAAGGAGGAGAAAGAGGCAGGACCTCAGGAAGTCCAGTTGGAAAGGTTCGGGCGCTTGTCTTACACCCAGTCAGTATTCTTGTTCGTGCACGAGCTCTTGCCTGACAAGACCACTCTGAACAACACAGTTATGCTTCATCTTAGCGGAGAAGTGCGCATCCCCGATCTCTCCCGCGCCGTTCGAGCACTGGGAGAACGCCACGAGTCGTTGCGTAGCTGCATCTGCGAACGCGACGGCCAGCCCAGCCAAGGAGTCATGAGGACCCCTTCCTTTACCCTTGAGCATAAGAGGATCTACACCAAGAACGAACTCTTCGACGAATACGCAGCGCTCCGGGGCCATGTTTTCGACCTGAGTCGAGGGCAAGCCAGCCGGACGATTCTGCTCTCATACTCGCCACGGGATCACTACCTGTTGATGAGCTCCCACCACATCTTCTTCGATCGATCCAGCAACGACGCTGTCATGGGTGACCTGGAGCGGATTTACAACGGATATCCCCTTGAGCCGAACCCTCTTCAGTACCTTGACTACTCCGACGACCAGCAAAGACAGTATTCATCTGGAGAATGGGACGAAGCCATTAAGTTCTGGCGCAACGAGTTCACCACTACCCCTGACCCCCTATCCCTCCACCGCAGCCAGATTTCCGAGCGACAGCCTCTCGAGCGCTACGCATCCCGTATTCCAGACTTCCGCATCGACAAGCAGCTCTCGGCGAAGATTCGTCAAGTTGCGAGGAAGCACCGCGCAACACCGTTCCACTTCCACCTCGCCGCCTTCAAAGTTCTCCTCCACCGCTTTCTCGGCACCACCGACGTGTGCATCGGTATCGCAGACAGCTGCCGACGAGACGATCACATGCGCACCGGAATCGGCCCATTCCTGAATATGCTGCCCCTGCGCATGGCCGCCAACGCGGAGCAGCCCTTCCTAAGCGCCCTCGACGAGGCACGGGAGAAGAGCTTCGACGTCCTCGCCAACTCGATCCCACTCGAGGTTATCTTGAACGAGCTCCGCGTTTCACGTCAGGCTACGCATACACCCCTGTCACAGGCATTCATGAACTACGCCGAGAACGACCTCGAAGACGGCCAGACGTTCCTCGGGTGCCGGATGACAATGATGAAGCAGGAGATGGCTGAGCTTCCTTACGACGTCACCTTTACCGTGATTAATAACACCACTGGTGACACGCGCATTCTCTTGAACTTGCAGGAGTCCTTGTACACGGACTCTGATGCGCAGATCTTGCAGCACGGGTATGAAGATATTCTCCGCGAGTTCGCCAACGCACCGGATCAGGCGGTTGGTAGCACTTGGCACTTCAGACCTGCTGTTCTGCAGAAGGCTCTTACATTGGGACGCGGTAAGTTCAACAACAGAGGGCATCTTGGTTCTGCTCAAGGTTACTAACATCCCTACAGGCGCGACTTTCAACTCTTCTTGGCCCGAAACCCTCGTTCATCGATTCGACAGCTTGTTCCCAACTGTCGCAAAGAGAGTCGCGGTTACAGACGGCGCTGGTGGCTCGATGACCTATACCCAGCTCTCTACTAAGATAAACACAATTGCATCGGAACTCATTCGCCAAGGTGTGCAACCCGGCTCCAGAGTCGCTGTCTTTCAGCACCCATCAATCTGTTGGATCCCTTCTCTCCTCGCGATCCTCAGGATAGGCGCGGTCTATGTCCCACTCGATGTCAACACTCCAGTCGCAAGACTGTCTCTGATCGTACGCGATTGCCAGCCCTCGTCAATCCTCGTCCACGACTTGACTAGAGACTACGCAAACAACCTGGAGGCCAAGCAAGACACTTCTCTAGTTAACGTATCAGCCTTAGAAGACTTGAGTGAGAAAGAGGTTCCCAACCTCGCTCAACCGGACGCACCGGCCATCATCCTGTATACAAGCGGCTCAACAGGAATTCCGAAGGGAGTCATCTTACGCCATAGCAGCTTGAAACACGAGTTCGATCACTGCGCGGCCACGTATGAGCTGAACCAAGATGATGTCGTCCTTCAGCAGAGCGCCTGGAGCTTCGACTTATCCGTGACGCAAATCTTCTTGGCTCTCGGTGTGGGAGCTGAGCTACACACGGTCTCTCACACCATGCGTGCAGACTCGCACGCCATGGCTGAGCTCATCCAAAGCCGAGGCGTGACAGCCACCTACGCGACTCCAACCGAATACAAGAGTTGGTTGAGGCGTGAAAATCAGGGCACATTGCGGTCCTCAGCCTGGCGCTTGGCTCTAGTTGCCGGTGAAGCTGTCACTGAGCCGCTTCTCCAGCTCTTCCGCGAGGTGGACCGCGAAGGTCTCCGTCTCTTCAATGTGTACGGTCCTACAGAGACAACATGTGGATCTACCAAGATGGAGCTATCGTACCGTGTACCTGGATTCTACCAAGGGACCATACCCGTCGGTTTGGCATCCGCAAACGAGCGATTCTACATCTTGGACCCCAGCCAGAACCTCCAACCGGTTGGACAGACAGGTGAGATCGCCATCGGTGGTGTTGGTGTTGCTATGGGCTACTTGAACTTGGACGAGCGGACTCGAGCATCCTTCTTGCCGGACGTCTTTGCAACCGAGGACGATCTGAAGCGCGGATGGACAACCATGTACCGAACAGGCGACGTCGGATTCCTGCTGCCCAACGGGACACTCGTTCTGAAGGGTCGCATTGGAGACGACACAGAGGTCAAGCTCAACGGTGTGCGCATCGATCTCAAAGACGTGGAGAAGACTGTCCTGCAAGCTTCTGGCGGCGTTCTCGCCGATGCCGTGGCCTCTCTTCGCAGCACATCTGGCGAATCTATCAAGTTCATGGTAGTCCATGTCGTCTTCTCGGCCGGAAGCCCAGCCGAGGACAAGAACAAGTTTCTCAAAACACTTCTCGCAGAGTTACCACTGGCGCGAAACATGTGTCCATCGGCACTCATTCCGGTCGATTCTCTTCCTCGAACGGTGGCTGGCAAGGTCGACAGACGAGGGCTCGCTTCTCTGCCAATCTCGCAGGGCCTTCTCCATCGCGCTGAGCACGAGCAGGACGGCACTGGGGAATCCACGAGACTATCCACGGCCGAGAAGACACTCAAGAGCTACTGGGAAGCCGTGATTCCCGAGGAGTTGACTGGACTTCACGAAATCGAGGCCGATTCGGACTTCTTTGTAATCGGAGGTAACTCGCTTCTCCTAATTGAGCTTCAGGGTCGGATTCGCGCAGATCTCGGCATCTTTATCGCACTGCCTAAACTTTTCCAAGCTACCACCCTGAGGTCGATGGCTCGACTTCTACCCGGGATGGACGACCTCCAGTCGGAGCTCGACACTCAGATTGACTGGTCGAGCGAAACCGCCCTGCTTCCAGATGATGTCACCTCCGTGAAGGATACTGCCAACCCAGTTGCGAAGCTCCCTCGCACTGTCGTGTTGACGGGAGCCACGGGCTTCCTCGGCCAGTACCTCGCCAGATCCCTCGTGGAGAACGAAAACATCGAGAAGGTCATCTGCATAGCCGTCAGAAACCCCGTGGATCAGACCCGCCAAGATCTACTCTTCAAGTTGGGACCCAAGGCAGAGTTTTACGAAGGCGATCTTAGCTCGCCTCGCCTCGGTCTCGCGGAAGCAGCAGCCCTCCGCATATTCCAATCCGCCGATGCGGTGATCCATAACGGCGCCGATGTGTCGCATCTCAAGAGCTACACTTCCCTCCGCGCAGCCAATCTCGGAGCGACGCAAGAGCTCGTCCGGCTGTGCAGGTCCCGGCAGATCCCGCTGCACTACGTGTCCACCACAGGTGTCGCCATGTACACCCCCTTCGAAGAGATGGCCGAGGTCTCGGTCCGCGATCACACACCACCGGTGGATGGCCAACACGGCTACGTTGCTTCCAAGTGGGCTAGCGAGGTATATCTCGAGAACGTTCATGTGGAAAGCGGCTTACCGGTCTACATTCACCGCCCATCGAGCATCATCCGCCCCGAAGCTGACAGGACGGGAGAGAACCCGGCTGCGGATGTTCTACAGAACATGCTCGACTACTCGCGGCGGGTCCGCGCAGTGCCAGCGGCGCCAGGTCTTAGCGGCTTCGTCGACTTGGTGAAGCCCGAGACGGTCACAAGTGGGGTGGTAGGGGCCGTCATATCTGTGTCTCAGGAGGATGGGGTTGTGTACGTTCACGAGTCTGGTGACTTGGAGCTGGGTGTGAGGCAGATTAGAGAGTATTTGGAGGCTGAGACGGGAGGGACTGTTGAGGGGTTGGTTTTGGACGAGTGGATTGATCGCGCGGAAGAAATTGGGCTATCGCCTGCCATGGCGGCCGTCTTCCGGAGTTCGCTGGGATCTGGGGAGCCGATGAATCTGCCCAAGTTGCTGCGGCGATGATTGTATGCATATGGTTAACTCGGAGTTCAGGTCATGTTTTGTATGTTTCATCGTCATTGGTATTGAGTCTTGCGCATTAGAATAGAGATCTTAAATATTTCAAATACCCAAGGCTTCTCTTCCATTTCGCGTACCTACGCTGTCTTTGCAACTCTCAACGGTCCACAAAACATTCCTCCCATAGGCCAGGAGGTTCGAAAGCGTTGACGATATTTTGGTCTCACGGAGTACAAGGCCACACCGGCTTTAGCGATCGACCCCATGTACCTTCCCGAGTCACTTTGAGATGAACGCCAAGTCAATTTAACTTTTCAACAGTGCTGATCGTCTATTCTGTCAACTATGTCGAGGCCTTCCTAGCCTTTCTCTCCTTTACAGAGCCATGCGAGGATAGAGTCCCGGATCCCTCAATGCTGTGGGATGGCACATTCCACGCTGTGATTCCTTTTTCTTGAGCAACCGGCTGGACGGCTGAAACCTCTTCATCCTCCGATCTATCATCCTTCGCAACGCCTAAGAAGACGAACTTGTAAGCGCTGCGCAATAAGCAATACAGCCAGAACAAGTTCAGTGCCTGCAGCAAAGCCAAAAGCCCAAAGGTGATAAAGTTGGACAACGGACACTTATACTGCTCGGTTTCCCAGTTCAGCTCATACGGTCCAACAGTACTAAACTCGGATCCGGGTAGCGCAGAATAGAGAATTCGCAAGTTGATGTAGTGCCGGAGGTAAATCCATACCGCGATACACACACCAAACGACACACCCTGAAGCTTGTTGTCGAGATAGTTCAGCGACTTCGACACCGCGAGGAAGAAATCGCTAATGTCGTGGGTGATATACACCGCAATCCCCATGTACGCAAAGTGGAAACGGTAACTCAGCGCGACGAGCGCAACCGTGACGACATGGTGTCCGACAAGCTCGTGGAAGTCCTTGCGCCGCTGCTCCAAGCCCAGCACCATCACCACCACCTGTTGCGCCCAGAACGCTGCTTGTAGGAGGTAGTAGCACTTAAAGCTAGCGTCATGCGTGCGATGCGGGAAGCCCTCGTACATCCCGTGGGTGTCGAAATACCACACTGGCGTACGGCTCATGACGTGCAGGCCCCAGGGCCCGATGATGGTCACGTAGAGCGCCGTGTACATGTTTTCCGCGAAGCGCGCTCGCTTGGCACGGGACTTGATGCCCCATGCGCGAGCGAGGGGTGTCAGAAGTTCGTGCATGCAGACTTCGCGGGTGGAAGTGAGGAATATTGTGTAGAATGCGACAAATGCGATGTCCCATGGTCCCTTGCCGTATTGTGTCGTCCCGGCGCTGTCATTGTCGAGCTTGTAGGAGGGGAATATGAAGTGGTGCGTCGGGTTGGAGTCGGTTGGGTTTACGGCGTAGAGAGAGAAGATCGCGACAGTGAGGAACAAGGGGAGCGTCCAGGTCCGACGGCGCATGAGAGCAAGGACTTTTGTCTTCTTGCGCTTCGAGTAATTCTTCGTGTGGCGGTTGGCCAACATTTGAGGTGGGACTTGAACGCCTGGCTGGAGCTCCATGTAGTTTGCGCCCATGTTGCAGAAGATCGTTGGGGTTTGGTCTCGACGAGGGGATGTGACTTTCGTGTTATTTTCGCGGGAATCGGTCGTTTGTGCCAATGGCTGCTCCGCTTCGAAGTATGGCTTTCGACCGCTTGATCGAGGAAGACAACAGACTGTGGCGTTTGGAAGCAGATCTCTCTTCAAACCACGACGATTGACATCCACACGATGCGAAACAGGAAACAACTGCAAGGCTCGAGGTCTTGAGGGGATCAAATAACTAGAGTGGGCGCACACAATAGCGGCAGGATGTGCCGTCGCAATTTGAAAGCTGTCCGTCTTGGGATAGCTTGATGCAGGGGCTGCTGTTGGCCAGAAGGTGTGACACACACTTAGTCAGATACGGGTGTAAGCAGAAGTCTAGAATAGGAAGACTGTTTTGTTGGTTCCGTTCAAAGACGGAGATGGGGCTCAAGTAAACAACTTCCAGATGCAATTAGTACAGCGCAACTTCGACGGGCTTTTATTCGAGCTCCGCGAACACTCGGAAAACTGCGCCTGAGTTGTGATTTCACACATTGTGTATTGGGAAGCTTCTCAGCTGGATTCGGTGGACAGGCGTTTCTCCATGTCTCAGCAGCCTCCAGCCGAAATATTAGGACCTACGTTTCCAACGGTGGCTGCCCTTTGCCATTCCCGCCAGACCTTGGCGAAGAATGGAACTGTTGCAGGAGGCTGAGGAGTGGAAAAGGGGGACGCGGTATGAGCTTTTTTTTTTACCCTCCGATTCGGAGGGTTTATGTCGTCATGTTGCTCCGAACGGAGCGGGTCTCACCCGATTGTAATCCATGAAGGGGCCGGAGCTGCACACCGCCTTTACCAAATGTTTCTGTTGATGAAGCCATTATTGTGAAACTACTCAATCACGGTCGTTGTGGTCTGTAAAAGCTCACATTGCCGCCTGTAGTGGTGGAGGTCGATCTTTGAAGTTAAGGATTGGAACAAAATTTCACGACTCTTCAGCATAGGTCTGTTGGAGTTCCTCGCTTTGGTCGCATAGAAGCCATAGGAATTAGCAAGTGATATGTCATGAACTGGAAAATTCAAGTTTGTTGTATCTCTGAGTCTTGGCCAGCCAAATGAAGCGCATCATCGCCACAGTCCTCAATCAATCTGCTTCTCGCAGCCAATTCTGTTGAGCAGTTCTTTCCGGCCGCTGTGCGTCCTGACGCCGCTTACCCTCGAGCTCGAAGACTCCTTCCGGCTAGGTGACCTTTCCCAGGCCTTCAAGTCGATAGACTCCACGCCAACGTCCTCCTCAATGGCCTCAATCTCCTCATACTCAATCTTCTCCTCTTCCTCCTCCTCCTCATCTACATCACTCCTAACATCTTCGGCTGGAGCCCCTTTGAGCACTCTCACCGAGACCCGAATGATGAAGAATGACCACGCGCAGATGACGACCTCGAGCGCGAGGAGAAAGGTCAAGAAGCCGTATCGAATGCCATCGGTGAAGCACACCATCCCCGCGGGGTCCTTGAACGGCTCGAGGAGGTGGGACCAGCCCTCGGTTGGCGCATCAAAGGGGCCTTCAATATCGCCTGGAGCGCCTCGGAAGCATGGCTGTTTGAGGGATCGGGGGAGGTCGTAGTAGACGCTCCAGCAGGTCATCAGGTAGAACACGTGGCGCGTCCAGACCCAGACTAGGAGGAAGACGCCAAATATTACGTCGCAGAGAGTCGTGAAGCCGATGTACTTGAGGCACTTGGCCAGCTGTCGTAACTGTTAGCAGGAAGCTTGGCGCGGTATGTTGATTCAAGATGGACTCACTGGAAAGATCAACTCAATGACGTCCATCAAGACCAAGATGAGATGGCCGACGCGGGTCTGGTGATACGCGTAGCATGCCGCGATGAGAGAGATGGTGATGGCGTGGTGCACGATCATCTCCCAGTAATCCTTCCGCCGCGCCTCAATGTTCACCGAGATGACCTGCTGGACCCAGTACGCCCATTGCACCATGACATATCCCTTCATCAACCCGTCGAGTTCCCGCTGGGGCCAATTGTTCCACAGCTCCTTCATATTAAGATAGTATGGCGCCTTGCAATAGAGGTACTAGGGACTCGCCGGTTAGTTCGACAACGTGCCTACAAGGTGAGAAAGCGAATCCACTGTACCATTCCCACTGGCCAGAGAACACTGTAATACGCCAGCATCGAGCCCTGTTCCGAGAATCTGGCGACATCCTTCTTCTTCGATATGCCCCAGTGCCGGCCAAGGGGCTCAAGGACGTGGCGCATCAGCGCGGCGCGGATGCCGATGAGGAGAGCGACGCAGAATGCGACGAAGCAGAGGTCGTCGTGGCCGGCGCCATACTCTCCAGTGGTCGAATTGTAATATGAGAGCTTGATGAACTTGGATGTATAAGGACGCGCCGCGTGGACGCAGATGTGTGTGAGGAGTAGAGGGGCAGTGGTTTGGAAAGCGAGGCCTGTTCAATTAGAACACTTCTGGTCAGCAATTGATCGTAGGATGAATGGGTGTGATGCACTGCATCACTAGAGGTGGTCATCATCCCTCCATCCTCTCCGTAACGTACTTGTCTGGTTGTCAAGGAGCCATTGAACAAGCTTCTTCCTCCGGCTATTGTCAATGGTCTTGAGCTTGTGTGAGTGAGCAGACCTGGGCGCTCTAGATGCGACCGGTGAAGCGCGCTTCGTATGCGCGATCTCGGAGGTGGGTTCGCTCATGGTCCTTGTCACTCGTAAGACGCAGTCGACAGCTCAGCTCAGCTCAGCTTCCACGATCAGATACCGAGGCGAAAAGGAGTCAAACAGTGTGTTTCTCGAACAGAAATTTGTGTGACAAAACTGTTGAGAGAAAGTGTCCGTAAGCGCGAGTCGCTTAAGAAAGTAACACTGCTTCCCTGCAGCACCCTCTCCACCCAACAGGGCGAGACAAAAGCTGCCAGCTGAGCAGGTTGGACCCTTCCTTTGCGCCTCACAGGGGGCGGTGAGACAAGGCGGCGGGAATGCAGGGATGTTCATATTTGGGCGGGCGGGATCTTGGAACTGGCGGCCGTTAAGATCTCTGGCATTTTCCAACTTTCAAGTTTGTTTGCCCTAGGGCAAACTGCGCGTCTTGATCTTGAAGCCCTTTGTGGAACAATAGGGCTGAACTCTAAAGGCTCCCCGTCGTCAGGCTTGATGCCAAGTATCATTAGCAAACTGCAGGTAATCACGGCGAGCTTTGTGTTAGACTTCTACTTCTCAATGACATTGTCTGTCAACAATTGACCGGAAAACAAAGATGCAGGGCATGCAAGACTCAGGGGAAACGAACATCAGGCCATCCCCGCACCAATCAGGATAGGCTGACATGGGTGCTTGTCATCGTGCCATTGCCCCAGGCCCGCAGATTGCTTTCGCTGGTGGATCCTGAGGCTTAGCTATTCGTAGGCCCGCGGGAACCCGAGCCAACAGGGTGGGAAAGTCGCGACGAAATACGAATAATTACGTTCTTTCTCTATGTCTCTGAGAACTGGAAGTGTACCGATATACCTATTGAACTCATTGTACCCATATAGCATTCAGTATTCTCTAAAGGCCATGGGTGCGAAGAAGTTCATAGATTGGTAGCACGAGAGAGGCCTAGCACGCCGCTGCTTCAAGTTTGGAAAGTGAACGCGTTTGCCAAAGTCAGCAGGCATTGACATTACAGAGAGTATTCCGTACGCGAGCAGCAAGTTCTTGTTCCGGAGGATTAAGTCGTAATTAAGTTGAGTTGCACTCTGCATTCAATGCCCCTCCGGCTGTGGAAGTTCTATCGTCCGAGAGCTCCGAGAGCACCAAGCCGGGCATTAAGTCAACCCACCCACTTTCGGCCCACCCCCCCTTTCGGCCACCCCATTAAATCCCTCCCAGCCACCGCATTATTATCCGACCCTCAATGTACAAACCACCACAACAATTGCAAAAATCGTCCAAATAGAATTTTTTTCGTATAACGTGGTTTACTAGTCAGCCGCGCATATCAGTCAGCCGCGCATTTCCTTATCGTATACTAAGTCGCCTACATTATATAATTAATATCTTTTTCATTGTTGCTTATATAACGTTCAAATTTTTTCATTAGTCTTTGATGAGAGTCACCAAACTAAATAAAAAGTTTTAAAAATTAATTTCTATTTAGAAAAAGAGTAAATATATTATATCCTTATCAAAGACCCATCTTTCTATTCTACTACTTATTTCAATATAAAAAGATTAAAATGTCTTTTTTTATTAACTTTAACTAACTAGTTATATTTTAAATATATCATGAAGATACTGAAATCTTTTTAATTAGTTATTATTCAAAGAAATTAGGTAAATATGCAATTTAGTAACTATGCCATAAGGAAATGCGCGGCTGACTGATATGCGCGGCTGACTAGTAAACCACGTTACTTATTCATTAATAAATAATAGTTAACTTAATTATACCGAAAATAAAGTTAATCAGGCTCTTGTATCTATTATAAACCGTCTCTCAGTTAAGAGAGCCTTAATTAAGTTTAGAGTATTACAATTAATACTTTAAAATTATATAAGCGGCTAATAGAATCAAGTAAGGGCTTGTTATGGCTAGCCAGTCATAGTGAGGTATGTTTGTAGAAGTTGAGGCTGTGGAACTGGTAATAGTAATAATTGGATGATTATTATACTTCGTTAATAGTCTCAAGTAGGTTATATCTATACGTCGTAAGGTAGGTATAATTAATCATAGTCTTATTAAAGAGGTTCTTAGAGAAGATAGCTGAAAGCGATTATAAGATTTAATATGAAGTTAATTACTAAAGAAGCTATAAGAAGTCTATCCTAAAGCCCGGCTCGAGTCCATTTTATATATAAGTCCTAATTCTATCTAAATATATCCTTTATAATTAGGACTAATATTGTCACGGTAGCAGGCAGGTTGTTTGGCAGGTGGATGCTGGGCAGGCGGATCAGACAATCTATTGCTACGGGCAGGCTCTATCCTAAGCAGATACAGGCTCTGTTGACAAGACGTAGCTCAAGGAGCTACGTTTCTGGACATGCGCGACAGAATACAGGATGCAGAGTTTTATCCAGTCTCAGGCTTACGTAACCCGGCCACCGGATTACTCAACACCAACCTCAAGGTTGGGGCTTAGGACAGCGGGTCTGTGACAAATATTACTGTATCGGTCCTTTAAAGGTGGACCGCCTTTATCCTATCAGTCTATATTTAAAGACCGCTTATTGTTTATTGGTCTTTCTCATTATTACGTAATATATCTGTAGTTCTTTCGTTCTATAAAGAGTTACCTAAGTTCTTAGGTTCTCTATATATATTTAGTAGATAGCCGCCGTAGGCCTGCGGGGCGGGCCCCTTGGCCTTGTTATGCACGTTGAGTTGTAATAGGGCTTTTACTAAGCGAGTTCTATATGATAATAGCGATACTAACGTTATTAAAAAGAGATAGATCTATGCCTTCTTTAAGAGAAATATATTAATTAAGATTTAGAGAAGTCGTATTATCAATTTAAGGCGTATTAATAAAGTAACTATTAAAGTAATCAGGCCTCAATTTAAATTACTTAAGATGTTAGTGATTAAGGGTATTAAACTAGCTAACCGGTATAATATAAATAAGATTAATACCATTAAAGATAAGGGATCTCTGGCACAATAGCTTTAAGAGGTAAGTAATAAGACTCTTATATAAGAGTATTAAATGGTGAATATTCATATAGAAGCAAGAATATATGAATATAGAGGTAGTTAAGCGTATATAAAAGAGGTTGATAAATGTAAGATGAGTATATAGCTAGATTACTATATGAGAAGTTGCTTGCTTAACAAAAGGTCTAAGTAGGTAAGAAGATGCCCTTATATAGGCATAAGATCCTCCGACTAGAATATTCCATTGTTTATTAATTGTATCATAATTAATAAGCATATACGTAAGTGAATGCGTAACTAATTGTAATATGTAATACCTTTTAAGTAAATTCCAGCGCATTCTATTACTCTCCAGTGCCTTCTTTCGCTCACGTAAGCTTACATAACGAATCTTGCTTACGTAATTAATATCTATATTAATTTATAACTCTTATAGATTAATATAATATATGATATGCTTACGTAATATGAATCATAAGGCAAATAATAAGGTAAAAGATTTACTTTTCTAACAAATAATATTCTAAATACTAAATAAATAACTAGTAATACCCTGTGAGTAATTAATTAGGTAACAACAACGTTTATTATTAATTAGTTAACTCTTAAAAAGGCTAATGAGCTATCTAGCCACTTAAAGCTATCCATAGAGCTTAGTCTAGACTATATTACTGTTACGAGCAGGACAAGACAACCAACTGTGGCATAAAGCAAAAGCTTCGATAATGATGACTCCGCATCATTTTCCTTTGTTCTGCATTATATAGCTACGCGCCCATAATGACAAGTTGCGGCGGGCGTAACAATTACCTAATAACTACTCTTTAAAAAGATTAAAAAAGCTTTTAATAAATAAGCCTCTTAGTTAGCTACCTCTCGGTACTAAGTTCGAGTTCTTCAAGCCAGAATAACTTATATAGCCCCTGAGAAGAAGAAGACTATATAAATAGGTTTTAATACTAGGTTCGCTAACATTAAGGATATATAGAGAGCCTAGAAGGATTCTAGCAATCATCTCGTTAGTCCTAGTTAACTCGTAAACGTCGATTTACCTAGTGACGGTAGTGAGTGTATTGTAGTGGCAGTGGAAGGTAGTTAATTAATTGAGTGTACTTGGTGGTGGTGATCTGAGACCATTTTCGTTGGGGTGGCCGAAAGGGGGGGTGGGCCGAAAGTGGGTGGGTTGACTTAACAGGTAGCGCACGGAGCTGTGTCCCACCTTCCACGGTAAAAAAGAGTTTGATTCGCTGTGTCTAGCGGGTCTTCGGGGACCCACACCTCCGGGGACCGATCAGCTTCGCCGGCCGGGCTGAAACGGCTTACCCGGGATTGACGCCGCGCTGCTGACACAGTTTTGGCACAAGCAGGCAGTAGAAAAGAGAACGGAACAATATCATTTAATCGGCTTGTGGTTCAGATATTTCGACTCTTGGGGGTGCACAATTCGGCCAGACCATGTACCATCTGCTGGTGAACAAGCCCGCTCGGGGTCTAGCGGGGAATCGGCGACAGTAATATACGGCGTTCAATGCTCGCCGAAACAACCCGGAATCAGCCGCCGAGTCATCGCATGCTTGACGTGAAACTGTTTTCTTCATGATGTTCTCCCTCATCGTTCCACCTTGTCACTCACATGTTTCTCTGATCTTTCGGTGCAACTGTGCGACTCCATCACACTCGCAATGGCTGCTGCTGTGTCTCCTATTCTTCCGGCCCAAGCCAACATCCAAAAGCCGGACGGCCTGGATCTCTATGCTCGGTTCGCCTTTGCAGGTGCGCTTAGATGCGCTATAACTCATGCTGTCTTCACGCCCGTCGACGTGTACGTCGTGTTATCAACCCGTTTTCCAGTCCACTGCCCTTACTGACCTATGATACCACAGCGTCAAGACAAAGATCCAGCTCGGCCCAGTTACCTACAATCGCGGCATGATCGCCGGGTTCCGACAACTAATCCAAAAAGAAGGCGCCGGCACTCTGCTAACAGGATTGGGTCCTACGTTCACCGGCTACTTCATCCAAGGTGTCAAGTTTGGCCTTTATGAACTTTTCAAGAAACAGTCAATTGAGATCATTGGACTCGAAAAAGCGAGACGGAATCGTACGGCGGTGTATTCCGTCTCGGCAGCCTGTGCTGAGTGTTGCTCCGCGGTCACTCAGCAAGGGCTATCCTGCCTGTCTGGAGAACCACACCGACCAGTAGCCTCATCCGAGACGCTGGCCTTCCCACAGCAGAGGTAGCCCTCGAAGCAGCGCGACTACGCTTCGCTATACGCCTGCAGAAGGTTGACCAACAGCATCCCTTGGTCCCAAGGCTGCTGCAGTCAGGGCGGCAACAGACCAGGCTTCAAAGAACAGCTGGCCTTTTACCTAAGTGTCCAAGGCCAGCGCTCCTACAGCCGCAATACCTCCCAGGGTCCTATGACCCTATAGTTACACAGACGAAGGAAGTAGCAGCTAGGATCTTCCAGGCCTGGCTCAAGACTGTGCCAGGTCAGCATACAGTCGTACACTCAGACGGCTCCAAAGCTCCTGACGGAGCTACAGGGTACGGCTTTGTTATCTACCGCAACAATAAACGTATAGCCCAGGGCTGCGGCCGTCTCGGCTTAGCAGAAGTGTTTGATGGTGAGGCGGAGGGGGCGAGGGCTGGGCTCCGACGGGCCCTTCAGACCTCCCAAGGCCAGCCTATACACATCTGCATCGACAATGCCAGCGTTATTCAGGGGATTCGCGGTAAGGTCCCAGACTCCTCACAAGCGGCCTTCCTTGAGATCCAGGAGGTAGCTAGGATACACGATATACAAACCCATTGGTCTTCTGGGCACGAAGGTATTAAAGGAAACGAAGAAGCAGACAGCCTAGCTAAGGAGGGAACAACTCTACCAGTCCTTAGGGGCCAACTAGCTACTCTATCAGGTATCAAGTGGCTTGCTAAAGAGCGGCCAAGACGCCAATATAGACGATGGTGGAAACAAGAGGCAACTCCCCGCTATACCCGACTAGGGCTCAAGGCTACCCTTGCTTGCCCTCCTGAACTTGGCCTCCCTAGGGCTGCCCTTCATCACCTCCTCGCGGCACGGTTAGGCCACGGGGACTTTAAACAATATCACCAGCGCTTTAACCACACAGAAGCACTACTCACCTGCTCCTGTGGATGGGTTAAGGAGGCAGACCATCTAGTCTACTGCCGAAAGACCCTACTGAGGAGGCAACAGTGGCCCACCCTCTACCCCTACAGCCGCCAGGAGCCCGTAGGACCTATAGGGTCCCTCGATCGCTACTTCAAGGGGCTAATCACTGACTCTGAAGGCTTCCAGGCCTTCCTCTGCGTGACAGACTTCTTCCAGAAGATCTGCCCGCGGTACTAGGAGATAGGTCATAACCTATCCTCCAAACGACAAACTACCTCTATTAAGAAACCAGATGGTTATAACCGAACTAGGGCACCAGTGGGAACTAGGGATGGATAGAACACATAGTAGCTCACGAGCAAGATTTGGAGGACGTCAGGATACGGCGTGTACTATATAGTATATAGCTAGAGCCTGCGACCCTTCACGCCACATACCCTTCGGGAGGTCTGCCGCAAGGGCGGCTGCGCCCTTGCCGCCATGGCGTTAAATAGAACAACAACAACAAATCTTTGTCCCGCTGAAGCTACACGTATCCGCCTCGTATCCGTGCCTGGCTTTGCCAACGGGTTGATAGGCGGGTTCAGTAAGATCCTCAAGCATGAGGGTATTGGGGCACTTTACTCCGGATTCGGGCCTATTTTGTTCAAACAGTAGGTCGAGCTCCACTGCTTGAGCCTTGAGATTGGCTGGGCAGGAACACTACCTGCGAGACTGCAGCTTGTACTAACACGACCAAAGGGTTCCATATACCGTAACAAAATTTGTCTCTTTCGAGAAGATTTCCGAGTTCTTCTTTGCTCGCCTCGATAACTCCAGGTCCGGAACCACACAGCTCGCGATCAATATGGGATCCGGACTCATATCAGGCTGCGCCGCTGCCGTCATCTCGCAGCCCGCCGACACGATGCTCTCCAAAATCAACAAGACAAAAGGGATATCTGGCGAAAGTACCGCGTTTCGTCTTTACAAGATCGCGGGCGAGCTCGGATTCCGTGGTTCCTTTGCCGGGCTACCGGCGCGCCTATTCATGATTGGTGGGCTCACCGCTGGCCAGTTTGCCATCTATGGCAGTATCAAAAGCGCTCTTGGTATGGCACTCATGTCTTTTCCCTTGTCTGAGCTGATGATAAATGCATAGGTGCGACAAATGGTGTTGAGATTTCAAAGTTACTAAGACGATGAAATTTCCCCCGCTTGCTGAATGTGTACGCGCCCAAGTACGGAATCTTTATGGATCGAACCTGAAACAATAAGGCTATGGTCACCGGGCGTTGAATGAGTCAGTGGACTGGGATACGTTCTCGTCGTATGGTTTGCCGATTTGTGTTGATAGCGGTTGCTTTAGCTTCCTCTACCTACCTTAGATCATCAACTTGAGGTGTCGTTACATCAGCGACAGCCCTACTAATGGTGGACTCCCTCGGCCTCCAAAGCAATTCATTTCTTCATGGCACGTATTTCAAAGTGCAGATTTGATTCCCATCAGACATCCAAGCTAGGGTAGTCATGAGCCAAAGAGCGAACAGCCAATTGAAACATGTTAGATGTCAACCCGTACGACAGCGGTCTACCAAAATACCCATGCATCCGTACTATTCGTCGCCATACGAGTGCACTGTTTCAGTCATGAGGGGCTGGGAAATTTAAGGCCGAGGTACTGACGTTAGGCCGTACAGTTATTCTACTTAAGGATGCATTGAATTTCAGCACTTGGTGGCCAAATATCTATTTTAGGGTGACGAAGCATCTCGATGTTTCATGCGTCGGTGTGAGAAATTCGTTAAATTGGTGCCTGATAGGTGCTTACATCACTTCAGCTCAATTGCAAAAAAGTGATTATAATGCAGCCACGGCTCTGTTTATGTTGGACTAACAAGATGCCACGTCACCCAAGCAGACCTTTGAGACACCCGTGACCCAGGCCTTGTCTCAAAACTTGGGGAGGCTTTTTCCATTCGAATTCAACATGACGCGAACCTGTCCCCGCCTACTTAGTGTACCTACATATTGGTTGGTCAAATTAGGTGACTACGCTCATGGGAAGCTACATGTATTGACCATCCTGCGGGCGCTCTCCCAAGGCTCTTCTGATTCTTCAAGTCCTCTTTCTCATCAACGTTTCATTGACGCTTTGATATCACACTTCCAAGGCTCGCACATACAAGCGGGTTCAAAGATGGCAAATCCTCAACAGTACACCATTGGGTGGATTTGCGCCATCACCACTGAGTTCGTCGCCGCCCAGGCGTTCCTCGACGAGAAACATGAGCCTCCCCAGATGCTTGCTCGCAACGACAACAACACCTATGCTCTAGGACGAATAGGGAAGCACAATGTGGTCATGCCTACACTGCCAAAGTCCTCTTATGGAGCCACTTCGGCTGCGGCGGTGGCACGGGACATGGTGCACAGCTTCCCGAATATCCGTGTGTTGGCTTGATGGTCGGCGTTGGCGGAGGCGCACCCAGTCAAAAACATGATATTCGACTCGGCGATGTCGTGGTTGGCTGTCCTGGTGATGGAGAGGGCGGCATCGTTCAATACGATTACGGCAAAACAATCCAGGATCAAAATTTCACGGAGACAGGTCATCTAAATCAGCCGCCTCAGTCACTGTTAACAGCTGTGGGGGCCCTCGAGGCTGCTTTTGCTTTAAGTGGTCATCATATCAACGAGGATATCGAAGACGCGTTTCAACGACGAATACGAATTCGAAAAACTCACTCGTTGCCAAACTCTTTTGCAGACAGGCTCTATCAGTCCGAGATCCTTCACCCGCCAACTTCAGCAGTAGATTGTTCCTAGAGCTGCAGCACCTCTCATGTTGTTCCCAGACACGAACGTGCAGACGATGAAGACAATCCTGCCATCCACTATGGCATAATTGCTTCAGCGAATCAGCTAATGAAGGATGCTGTGAAGCGAGATAAGCTGTCTTCGGAGAGGAATGTGCTCTGTTTTGAGATGGAAGCAGCTGGTTTGATGAACCATTTCCCTTGTCTGGTGATCCGTGGAATTTCCGACTACGCGGATACGCACAAAAACAAGGCCTGGCAAGGATTTGCGGCTATGACAGCCGCAGCATACGCCAAAGACCTGCTCGGGCAACTCATCCCAAGCAGGGTTGAGACTAAGGTACTGGTTGCAAAGGTTTTGAGGTCCGGTTAGTGGTATATTCTCCTATTCTACTTCAAACACTGTAGCGAAGCTCTGTCAAATCTGGTCGGTCACAGGTTGCTGACTGGATAGACAAATAGTTGAAGAGAACCAGTTGAAGCAAATTCAAAGCCTTGACGAGTCTAAAGCCGACATCAAGGCTATGGTGTCTGATCAACAGATCAAGAAAATCCGGAAGTGGCTCAATCCTCCCGATACATCGGTTAATGTCAACAAAGCAAAAGATCTTCGGCATCAAGGCACAGGGCGGTGGATCTTCAAAACTCAAGCTCTTCAAGAATGGAACGCCGGATCACGACAACACTTATGGCTACCTGGTCTAGCAGGATGCGGCAAAACAGTTCTCAGTACTACCATACTCGATTATCTTTTGTCTCAAGCCGATGGAGTTGTCTTGCAATTCTATTTCGATTTCAGTGACGGCGGGAAGCAGACGTCGAGCCAGATGCTCCGCGGACTTGTCTACCAGCTTTACGATATTGCGGTAGGCTCCACAGAACTCGACGCATCACAAGAACTAGAGCCGTTACACATCACACAAACGTGGTGCCGATCAACCGAGATCCAGCGACTTGTCGGATTGCTTCTTAGCTATGTTAGAGAAGTATCCCCCAAAGGTCTTCATTCTGATTGATGCTCTAGATGAATGTACCGAGAGGAAGGAAATCCTAGCATGGATGAGAGACTTCGGATCTTTTCCTGGTCTTGCGCACATAAAGCTTCTTGTCACTGGCCGGTGTGAAGTGGAGTTTCAACAGCAATTTCCTCTAGTGGTTGGGCCAGATAACTGCATGTCATTGCATCTGGAATCCGTCGATGCCGACATTCGATCATATGTCGACGCCCAGTTACGGGTCAGGGTAGGATTTAAGAGATGGGCCTCTGCCCCCGAAGTCCTTCAAACGATTAGCGGGAAGGTCGGAGATAAAGCAGACGGCATGTAAGTTGTGCCTCAGCCTTAGCCAATATATTAGCAGACTGGTGAAGCCATCGGCTTGCTAACACACGCTAGGTTCAGATGGGCGGCGTGCCAGCTGGACGCACTGGAAGAGTGTCTTAACCTTGAAGAAATCGAGAGAGCCTTGGAGTCCCTTCCGAGAGATTTGAACGACACGTACGGCCGGATTCTCGAAAGCATTCCAAAAATCCGAAAGGATAAATCCATACTTCTTCTACAGTTTCTCCTTCATTCCAAAGACCCTCTCACTTTGGGAAAGACAGTGGATTTGCTTGCTATTCGGGGGCGAGAATTCAATCCAAAGTACAGGGTGCCAGACCCAACGGAGATCCCTCTATTTTGTCCCAGTCTCGTGTCAATGTTGAAAAGCCGTCGCAAGCTGTACTTGGGACAGGGAGATCAGGTATTGGTTCAGTTGGCCCACTTCTCTGTGAAAGAGTATCTACTTAGTTGTCATTGGATGGAATTTAACCCGCTCAATGCGAGCATCCACCTGACGCACAAGCTTTTAGCGGTTCTTATGGGGTATTCGGAGATTCCGTTCCACAGAGCTACCTCTAAGATTAATCTTGTCGGTCCAGCGGCAGGTTGGACGACATACGCCCAACGGGCTGAAGCTGCAGACGATATCGCACAGGCAGCGGCCAACTTCCTTCAAAATGAAGACTATCGTCGGTTTTGGATATCTCAAACCCTTGCAACCGTTTTTAGGCTTGAAGTTAGAACCAACTTCTACATAACCTCAGGCAAAGGCTTCTGTTGGTATTCCTTTCACAGGGAAGTTGGTTCGAACCGTAGGGTCCTAGGGGTGACGAAGTATCAATATATCTGTATTGATTGATTCTGCGTAAGGAGTAGAAGGGAGATTCCAACCGGAGGTTGGGTGGGTAGTCGAGGTCTAAGTGTACCCCCTCGAGGTGGCCCATGCTCTGCCCCTACTCGCGGCCGAATTGGACTTCCAATCCGACAGCTTCGAAGTCCTTCGCAGGACCGTCCTATCATGCGCATGCGGATACGGGCTGCGCGAGACTGCGAAAGTTTTGATTTCTCGAGGAGTAGGTCTGGAACCACCAGCAGAAGGTAATATTGCTCTTTTAGCCTGTGCGTTATCTGGACTCCATGACATTGCCCAGCTTCTTCTGGACAGAGGAGTGGATATTAATGCTGTATCTGAAGCGTGCAGCCCTCTGGAGGTCGCCGCAAGAAGACAAAATCATCAGATGGTAAAATTTTTCTTTGGCCGCGGAGCAGATGTCAAGACGCACGTCAGTCGGCGCACGTCACCTCTGCTTGAGGCTGGTAACCACTTGGACATTGTGCAAACCCTTTTGGATCATGGAGCAGACCCCAACTTACCCGCTTGGGAGCCTTGCGGAGGAAACAAGATACTCCCTTTGGGCGTAGCTTGAGGGAATGGAAGGTTGGAATTAGCAAAACTGCTCTTGAACCATGGTGCAGACGTCAACGGATCGGCGACAAAGGGCACTCCCCTTCTACAAGCCGCAGAAAAACGGGCAAGTGGAAATTGCACGGCTTCTATTGGAAGCTGGAGCAAAATTTGACGTATGCTCTCGCGATGATAAACGAAATCCTCTTACCGAAGCTTCCAACAACGGGCACAGGTATATTGTGGACCTGCTCCTACGGAACCATGCAAATGTCGATCGGCAAACGCGGATTGGGAGCGCGCTTCTGGCAGCAGCGCGAGAGGGGCATACTTCAGTTGTGCGGCTATTGCTAGAGCACGGGGCTGACTACGAAGCTACGCACAATCTACCTTCATTACACACTATTAGGTTGTGGCTGGATTATTATGCGCCCAGAAACGGCGACGATCCTCTCACTGGTGCCTCAACATTTGGTCACACAGAGGTAGTGCGGCTATTCTTGGAATAACGAAAGCCCTCACACAGGCCAAACGAGTATTGGTCCCGGCTGTTGGCGACCACCATTACTTCGGATTATTACCATATCACCAGAATGCTTGTGGAAGCTGGGGCAGATGTTAACGCACCACTAGAGGAACACGGCTCCCTGCTCAACCTTGCATTGGAACAGCGTCGTCTGGATGTTGTTGAACACCTGTGGCAATAACGGATACTAGTATACCATGCAGAGTGAATTTTGGGGGTAGGACTGAGAGGATGAACGCAGTTGAGTTTGCCCGGCATTTTTAGTTGCACGAAATAGCAGACCTAATCTCAAAAGTACCGCCTACTAGAGACTGGAGAAAAAGGAGGGCGACGGAAGATTTGTTAGAAGAGGAGGCAGCAATCTCGCAGCCCAACATTACCAAGGGGTCTTGTTCGAAAACGAAATGAGATGTGCTGTTTTGGTGCAGGCCGTTCGAGGAGTTCGCCTCATTTTCGGAGCGTCTGGAGTAATTTTAGGCATATCAAAATCCGTCTTTTGTTGCTTGACTTCATCCTCAGTTAGGTCTGTTATATTAAATAGGTGGAATTGAACACTCCGATATCAGGTTCTTGACTGATATTCCTATCAGTGGTGTGGCGGGTATCATGAATGTTGTGGCAAGTTATGAGCAGACCGTCACGGCTTTAACTCTGCTTCTCTTTGTGGGGAGATATGCTGCCAACTAGCAACCGCATATTACAATTATCTCAAAGCTGCCCTTGAAACCAGAAAGATCCAAAACTCCCAGCGTCAGAGCGCCACGCTCCAAACCTTCCCGGCTCTCGTCTTCCCAAAAATTCCCAGAGTCCGTCAAATCGTGATCTAATAATACAATACAGCGCCGTTGAGGGTTGTCTCGTGACTCAGTTGATGCCCAGCATGGACGATGTTCTCCTATCACCAGGCTTCTCCTGAAGCTGTCTCCGGTACGAATCAAGCTCCATCGTCGCCCACACAAGCGCGATCTTGCCCTTGTCGTAGCGATACATGCAGTGCTGGTGGAACTTGACGCTCTTCCCATTAGGCTTCGCGTCAGCAAACTCCTGCACAGGCGTCCCCGAAATCTGCAGCCTCACAGCAACCTGCTGCGTCTCCTCGTCGACAAGCAACTCCTGGATGTTGAACCACAATCCCGAAATCGCCTCCTGGCTGTACTGCATGCTGCGCGCGTAATCCTGCACCGAGAGAACGCGGTTGTTGTGTCGCAGCTCCTTCTTACAGTATCGCGGAAACTCTTTGACCATGCTGCGTCGGTTGATGCTCGCGACATACTTGCGGTACGTTGCCGCAAGATCGATAGGTTCCGCAGGCAGGCTCCGCATAAAGAAGCGCGGCGTAGTCGCGGCCTCGGGTGTCTGCAGGCGGATGCCATCGTTATCCTGCAGCGTGAGCATGCGCGAGATCTTGCCCCTGTCATCGAACCACACGAAGCACTGCTCGTCGAATTCGTACGTTGTGCCGACGGGGTCGACGTCCATCATCGCTTCGGCGAGTGTGACGCAATTGATGTATCGCACGGCCACGGCCTGGGCCTTTTTGTCAACGAGGAGGGTGTCGATTTTGATCTTGAAGTTTGCAAGACCTTGGACGCGCGAGCGGAGGCGCTCGACGTGCTCTTCGCGTGTCTGAGTGCGATTGTTGCGCTCCAGGGTGTCGGCGAGATGGTTGCCGATGACGTCGAATTTGCGGTTGTTGAGGCAGTCGAGGTACTCGCGCAGACGGGCGCCAATGTCAACCTGGATACCCTTGCCGTCGCCATTCCATCTCTTGGAGGAGGGGCTCCTGCTCTTGCGAATGGGAATGCTGGTGGTGTTGCTTGGGGCATCTTCTTTGACTTCTGGGACCTCGGGGGGCTTGAGCTCGGGGGACTCGGGAGGAGTGAGAAGGGTCTCGTGAGGGAAGCACGGCGCTCCGTACTCGTCCATCGTGACGGTATTCATCTTCATCATGATATCTTTCGATGGGGATGTGGTAAGGGTTTGGTAATCTGTTTAATCGACTGTGACGAGAGCATGTGTTGCCTCGAGAGGGTGAGCTTTTGTCGCGATGTAGATGGGTTTGATGAGATGATGGGAATGTGGGAAACAGGGTAGCACTCGGGGACGGGAGGAATCGAGCTTCTAGGCGTGAATTGTACTTGTAGGAGATGAGCTTGAGTTGTCGATCTATGCAGATCATGGATGGGAATCAGGCCAGACCACGGAGGCTGGACGTAATTAGGGGGGATTAGGTAAGGTACTTTCAATACGATTGGGCTCTGAAAACGATCGAACGATGGGAAATGCGGGAGCTCAGAACAAAACAGCAGTGGACGTGACCGGGCCGGGGGTGGTGTGACTGAGCAGAGACATGAGTGAGAGTGACACAGAGAGTGAGGGAGAGACGAGTGAGAGAAAAAAGGGCACGATGAAGATCTCAAGATTTGCGCCACGCCTCTCGCGTGAATGACGTACAAATCCCCGCAATTCCTGACATCACCCGCATCCCTGTGGCGGCCAGCCGAACATCTCATCCCTCACCATCCCAGAACATCCCGGAACCATCCCTAACCATAAGCGGGCCGCGCGGACCTAACCCAAACAGCCACCGCACCGCGCTAGTCCGCCAGATTATATGCTGGAAATAGCCCATGAGCCAGTCGCCAGGAGGGAAACCTCCGCTACATTCCCATCCGGCGAGCTAGGCTACTACAGGTGGCCTGGGTGGCTTTCCTGGGGCAACTGGGGGAAGAGGGGGGAATGATGGTCGAAACTCTCGGATCGTCCCCCAGGCTCAGAATGACATAGGTTGTGTGATAGTGTACGTAGTCTCCTATTGAAGTGAACCCCCAACAAAAACCTGGAAATCAGTTGAATCAAGCCCGCCGAATCATGTCCAGACCACCATCACGTCCCATCAACGACCAACCATCAGACGGATGAACGGCCCCTGCGGCGGGAAGTGGAACCCCCCATCAACTTAAACCATACCAAAACCACCCCGGTCCTCGCCTTCCGAGATACCGGGATCCCAGCATCTCCCTCACAAGCTTTTCAGCAGCTGAACGGGGCCGGCCCCGGGTTGGTGTAGCTCGTCGGCGTGGGCCAGTACGGCTGGAACAGAATCCCCGGGTCCGTGGACTTGTATGCCCCCGGGAACGACACGAGGCCCGACGGGCTGGTGCTCCCGCCCCCGGACACGGAAACCTGCGCGCACGCGAGGTAGAACTGCGCTCCGCCCTCTGTCGCGGCGCCATGGAGCGCCAGATGCTCGACGCGGACGAGGTACTCGCCGGACGGGATGCAGGCTGGGATTTTGGTGGAGAGGATCTGGGTGTCTGTGACGTTATTCACCATTAGCTTTTGCTTGTCCAACTCATGAGAAACCCCCACGAGCCCACAAAACACTGAATCAGCCCTATGCAAAGGGAATCTGTTGCGGGCTCGCGATTCACACACTCTCCACAAAAGTGAGAGGGCCCCTTTTCTTTTGAAACCCGCAGAAAGCTTTTTAGTCTCTGCATTTCTCCTCTTTTCTTCCCTGTTTCCTCCATTTCCAACGTTTTCTTCAACACTCTCTGAGTCTCTTCTCCGTCATATTATTCTGGAGACCAGCAAAAAGAAGGCAGAATATTGGAAACAACTCACTGGTAGAAGCCCACTCCAGCCCAGTGGTCGTAATTGTCGGCCTCTCGTGGTAGATCTTGAACCACACCGCCCCGCTGCCGTCCCAGGTCGCCGCTGTTTGGCCGGTCGGCACTTTGGCCATGTAGAAGCTCGCCGGTCCCGGGTGTCCCACGACTCCATTAGCCGCAAACCCAATGGTCGAGCCCGCCGACACCGGCAACATCGTGACCGTGCCGCGGTCGGCGGCATCTGCCTCGTAGCAGCGGATCTGCGTCGACGACACACCGTCGGCCGGGCCGTTGGTGTAGAAGTTGAGCGTCTTGCGCATGTGTTGCCATTCGGGGTAGGTTGTACCACCGTAGACAAGGCGACCAAAGGTGTCTATGGTCAAAGAGGTTAGGTTTATTTTGTATTTTGCCCGTATTGGTGGCTTTGCGATCTTTGTGGGATACATGTATGTGTGATTGACAAGAAAGCTTACAGTGGGCTTCGGCCGAGGCAGCTGCCAAAGCGAGGAGAGCAGTCGACGAGAACCTCATTTTGCTGCAGTGATGATGGCTTAAGGAAGTATGACTCTGAGGTTACTATCTCAAAAAGCTCGGGTGCCTGGAATTTCATCACCCTGATAAACCTCAGCTGGCTGATCCATTCTTAAATAAATCTGTCACCGGTGGACGACTTCCCTCTCATCACCCTAGCTACTCAACATCTGCAAAGGGCCGGTTCCCTCTCAGCATTAACAAAAGCTCTAAAGGTACTCCCAAAAGCCTCTTAATATCAAAACAGTCTTTCCGGTCACCGGCGGAATATACTGTGACCATCTTCCACGAATCTCTGCTGTCTTTCGAATGGAATCCGGAGTGAAGCCTCCGAGAGAGGGTGACAGCACGATCCTTGTGCTAAGTCAAACCCCCCACTTCCTGGCACCCCCCTGTTTCTGGCACCACAAAAACGATGGGATCACAACCCGACCTCCTCATTACTATTAACTATTGATCCTCAACCACACCCACTACAATACAGCTGCCAGCCTCACTAGGGCATTCAGAGTCGCTGGATTCAGCCGTGATAACCTCCTTTTCACCCGCTTCGATTTGAGCCCGATGGATATCCCTGATGTTCGCGAACTTCGTGTTGGGATCGATTTGAACAGTCTTCCTCTTCCTCACTGCAGCGTTGGTAACTTGAGCCCTCAGGTGAGCTAGTTGCTGCTGGGCAGCTGCCAGTTGCCAGGCCTGCTCTGTGAAGCCTTTTTTCACCTTCCTGAATAGCAGCCGTTGAGTGCTGGTATCATTGTCGAGTTGGGTGTATAAGTGCAGTTGACCGCTGAGCTCTGCCAGCTTCCTGGGTGTCGACCAGACCACTGCAGAGGAGGCAGAATCCCATGGCTCAACAGAGGTAGTTTGTTGACCATTATGGCATCGCTTTCTGCCCTGACTAGTTGGTTTGGGTGTGGTGGGCTTAGCAGGAGGCTCAGGTAGTACCATAGGGTTCATCAGGGGCTTAACCATCGCCACAGGGTGTAGACCAGTCCACTTCCAACCACTTCTAATGTTCGAGACTGATAGACCAGCAAGTTGAGCCTTCTGGTAACAGTCCAGGAAGTTCCTTTTACCTATAATGGTAGAGTCGTTCCATTGAGACAAGTAACCGAGCTCCTTCCGATAGGCTGACTTAACAGGGCTGAAGACAGACTGGTCAAGAGGCTGGAGGACATGAGAGGAGTGTGGTGGTAAGAACAGTAAATGGATATTGTTAATATAGCAATTCCACATGAAGTCTGTCGTCGTATGACTCCCATGCCCATCCACAATCAGCAGTCGAGCCTCCCCCTCAGCCTCAGGCATAGTCTGTGGGATGAACACCTTCTCTAACCATTCAATGGCAGTTAAGTCTGTAGTCCAGCCATTATCTGTTGCTGTGAACTCCCACCCATCGTATGGAACGAGATGTAATGGAAACCACTGCTGTTGGGCTGTCTTCCCCTTGAAAATGATAAGAGGACGAAGTGCCCTACCCAAGGCTGAGATACACTCAATGATAGAGACCCATGCCCTCGACCCAGGTTGTTTCTTGCGAACAGACGTCGTCTCAGCCATACCCAGCACTAACCCATTAGATCCCTGACCCTCGAGGATGCCAGTCTCATCCATATTATATCTGTTGGCTGGTTTGATGTCCTTGATCTCAGGGATAGCGAGGAACTTAAACCAGTTCCTAATGACCTCAGTAGATGCCCCATTAACGCGTCTAGAATCGATAGAACGACTTCTCTGAACCTTAATGATAGGGTTCCTTCTCACAAAGGCATAGATCCAGCCTTTTCCCAGTGGTTTGGTATCCCCAGCAGCAGCCAGAACTCGCTCTGCGAATTCCTTCACCTGTTGGTGCGTTGGTGCGAGGCCCAGCGAAGCCTGAATGCGAACCCATTGTGCCAGCTTACTCTCCTGGTCAGGAGACAGCCTCTGCCAGTCAGCAAAAGCCACTTTCCTAGTCTGACCACCTTGGAGACGTAGTTGGAGGGTTGATCGTGGTATCCCATACTCCAATGAGGCTCTCTTTTGACTCTTGCCGTTTGAGATGTCCTCGAGAGCCTGACGAAGCTGATCTTCGGTATATTGAGGCATTAGATATAGAAGAAGGTATGTGCAAAAGATGAGCCCATTTGGACGCGAATTGAAAATGTTGTGATAAAAGGAGGTTGGGGGTGGGCATTGGGTTGTGGTGGATTTTCGCGTTTTTGTGGGTGCCAGAAACAGGGGGGTGCCAGGAGGTGGGGGGTTTGACTTACATCACGTCGCTACCCGCCAAGATCCAGTGCACTACCATACGTCCAATGGGTCCGGGGTAGACATATTAAACTAATCAAAACTGGAACTTGCGTCCATCCATTTTTTCTTTTGTTGGCCTCCGGTTCAGACCTTCTTTCTTCCTTCAATCAGTGCACTCTTCCAGCCGGTCCTCTGCTGTTCGTCTAGGTACTAACCTTACCAGACTGTGAGGCTATCAAATCGCAAGCGCAGAAACTCTTGAGGACATGGTTTAGTCCATAGCGTGCTAACTTGGGACTGATGGCAATATGTCGTGTGATCTTGATACATGCGAGCAATTACGCCGTACCTTTGGTTCCCTACACCTCAAGGGCTAGCCACTCCATGAGTCCGCATTGCATATCCGCAGGCGACATACTTACAGCATCAAATGTTCGCTTTTGCTCATTCTGAGAAAGGCGGACGGATGTCACGGTATCTGATGGCAAGAATCCACCTCAACACAAGTCTTGAGCTCCACCCATACTATATAAGTAGGCTGAGTTAATAACCCACAACTGCGAGATCCTTTCCAATTCCTGGGTGATAGTCGCACATCCAACAATGGGATTGCTGCATGAATAGATTGTGTATTGGCACTGATATACGCAAACCCCCTGTTTGACAAAGCATCCCACGTCTTCCACTTCAACCAATGTCTATCCCAGACAATCCAGAGTTTGGGTTGGTATCAGCCCGTTTCAAATCTAAATTGGCTCAGCAGCTGAAGCTGTTCCTGATGCGACAGATCTCGTCGCAGTTGATGTTGTCGGCATAGGGGCCCTTGCAATCGCACTCGTTGGCTGGCAGAACGTTGCAGCAGCAGTCCTAAATCACGAATTAACTTTGTATCTATGCCAACTGTCTTACAGCAAATTTCTGTTGCAGAATGACTTGGGATCACCTTTACAGCTACGCCGCTGATGATAGCGAAGGCAGTGACGAAAATAGTGAACTTCATTTTGAACGGTTGATCTTAGTTATGGTGATTGTGTTGCTGGTGATCGGATCGATGGCGCAGTTGGCTAAGATGATGTGAGATGATTGTGGTGGTTGAGAAGGTCTTTCAAGTAGTTCTTGCTAGAGGAAAGAGTTGAGTTATATGCATTTTCAAGAGACCTATCGTCAACTCGTATTGGTCAATTTTACTTGCTTAGTATTTGGACGAAGACTCAAGTCAAATTGTCAATTGTAGCAACTAAAATGGAGCTAGCCTGCAGCACGAGTCGCACTGTGAGTATCCTTGAATGTGTTACATGGCAAACCCATGGCCAGATAGATTGAACTGGGCGTGAATAATAATCAATTTTTAGGCATTACTTATCTGTCCTCGTGAGCCTCCGGGCTATAAATTTCCATGAAGTGTAAGTGGAACTCGCGTCCTGACTCAGTTTCTGCCAGAAATGCATTCTAGCTGTTGCCATGTCCACAAAAGCCGGTGGTAATTTGTTTTAAGCATTGGTCCGTCGGGTGAACAAGAGAATGTCGAAGTAATCAGCCCGATGTCAACTTGGCAAAACTCTATTAATGAGTCGCACCACGACGGTTCCCATTGAGCCTGACGGCTAAATCTGGACTATGTGTTCGTCCGGTTTCACTCCGTCCGTTCTGCCAGCAAAGCAGATAACCCTCACTTCGTACTTTGAGACGCACGACTTATAATAAGCTAAGATAGTTCAAATCATCACTCCTTGAGATGAAAGCCGTAAATATGCAACCAACCTCAATTTACTATCCATCTGGCAATCACGTCGAACCTTTTGTCGGATTGGAAGCCCAATTCGACCGCGGATAAGGGCAAGAGCATGGGCCACCTCGAGGTGGTTCAATTAGACCGCGACTACCCAACCAACCTACGGTTGGAATCTCCCTTTTACACACAACGCAGAATCAATCAATACAGGAATATTGATACTTCGTCACCCCCAGGACCCTACGGTTCGAACCAACTTCCCTGTGATAGGGATACCAATACCTTTCGAGTCCTTGCTTTTTCAGGATTCGCCCGCAGTCGGGCATAGTCTCTGAGCCTCAATACGTGGCAGATTCTTTGGCTCTAACAGCATCTCTGCATCTTACCTAGCACATGGCCACATGGTCACGGTCGGCAAGTTTGGCTATATATATATCCATGAGGTGGTGAATACAGAGGGGTTGTTGAGGCAACTGCACCAAACCCTAAGCAGGAGGCACATATCAATTAACACAATAAGCCGAAATGTCAGATCGAGAGAAACTCAAAATGTCCTTTGCCTCAGTACGTGTACTAGTCCGTAGTCATCACAACAGGTCTTCAGTAATTAGGACATGTAAGAGTTATTGTTCACTTATCGAATAAGGTACGCCAATTGAGTCGGAGTGGAATCATCCCCTGCGCGTCGGACGTTGTGCTTGCAACATCTCAGCGTACCTTACTTACCTGAAATCCACCAACAGTGGAAAGACTCGGCGTTTGCTTCTAAGCCTGCTTCAACATTTTAGGGCTGCTTCAAACGTATCATATTTGCTTGGATCAGCCTCCCCAATCGTATCACAACGTGGCAGAAGCTATTGTGTATTGCCCCACGGACTGGAGGAGGCTTTAGATGGATTCTCACAGTCTAGCCTAATGGGAAGCTTCAATCTAGTGGTGTGGATTTGGCCCAATTTCGCAAGCGCTACTAACATTTCGTAGTACAGTTGCGCGCTTCAATGTACAATGTTCCGTCCTCCGTAACCAACGACCCATTACGTGAACTGTGTCCCCATGTAGGACAAATCCTCGGCTATATGCTCATTCTTGCTGCTCTTCTTTCCCTTCTTATGACCAGTCTTATTCTTCTTTGTCGTCTTCGAATTAGATCTGGATGGCGACCCGGAGCGGGCGGTCGTGCTCGACGTTTCGTCGTCGACCGGGGAAGGGGCGGGGCTATAAGTTCACAGTCAGTATGGTATGTCAGACCAGGTAGCTGCCAGAGACAAGAACTCACGCGGGCTGGTTACTCTTGCGTGAAGATCCCATAACTTCGAGATGGCTTTGTAGTTCGGATTGCTCGATGAATGGAAAGTTTGGGTTACGAATAAGGTATTAGTCGTGGATTTGATCCGAGATTTGTAAATTTGACAACGTGTGTAAGCTGAGACCAGTCAAGCTGCGAGGAGGGAGGATGAATCGGTGACAAGCATAAAATGGGAAGAAAACCAGTGGAGAGCGAGCAAGATATTTATCATTCTGGGAACTTTAGATGCGAACATCGATCAAGTCTGCCTATGTTCAGAATTCGGACAGCACCGCCCTACTGAGGTACGCACTTTACCTCGCAGGCAAACGAAGAAAGGGCCAGGCAGCGCAGCAAACCAGGGCAAATCCAGCCCAGACCTGCGTCGATAACTAAGTATCCCAAGTCCAAAGTCGATTCAGTCTCCATTTTTCCCTTCAACATCGAACGTCATTGGTCACTCACCTTTTGTCGTTGGTGTCACTACATCGTCGTCAGGCCCAAGGACCACCACGGAACGAGTGATCAGGGACTTGTGCATCTGTCGTCATGAGGAGAGCGAGCGATGTATCAAAGCAAGTAACACTGCCGTCCTATTGGATCCTCACTTTTTGTTCATAAACTGGTCCCGACCAGCTCCTGTAGGGACGGACCGCGCTAGTCTCGGTATGCAAGCTATTCGCTGGTGAGGTCTAACAAGAACGGGCGTCGGCAGAGCTAGGAGGGGTGGGAGGCTGAGAAAGGGACAGCATGACAGCTAAGCATACGACACTGACACAACTGCCAGCCAACGTGAGTGGATACCTGTGGCTATCGTACTCATACTTCTTGATTGGATTTGTCTGGGAATCTCTAGAGGCTCGGCGACAAAAACTACGAGAGTGAAGCGTCATTCCTGAGGCCCTGATTGGCGATTCGCCATTTGTGAGTTACACAACACGGAGTGCGGTATTAAGGGATTGAACTTGGCTTTCGCTGCATACCGCCATGCTCTGAAACGAGGCACCCGTTGCCTTATACCTCGAGGCAACCACTACGGGGCCGATTCAATAAAACCACAGGTTTCCGTTCCCTGGCGGCAGTTTCTTTACTCTCTCTATTTATCTCGGTTGAAATTAGTTCCACCCCCGTTTTCTTTCTTCTCTGTTCATGAACGCATCGGACGCCTCTCCCCCCTCTTCCAGCACGTTCTCGAATCCGTCTTGAGTTGCTGAAACCGCAATCGAGAGTCGATTCAGACTACATTTAGCGGGCCAATCATCACTGTTGCCTCAATTATTTGTGGCAGTGATGGATGCCCCGAGAACCTTTGGCTCGGCCCCCCAGGCCACGTTCCATGACATCCCTTAAGATCAACGATGGGAGCCCCTCAAGAGGATCATCATCGAGGCCTTTTTGGGGGAAGCCACAAGCTGACCTCTCACGTTCCCCAAGCTTTCCGAGTTCATGAAGAAGCATCATGGCTTTGATGCATCGGTGGTCAACCTCTGTCCCGAGAATAGCCCCTGTATAACCTTGTCATCTAACGCACGCCACAAACAGGCCCGCCCAGTATCGCTATCGCCTCGGCCAGTGGAACATCAGAAAAAATACAAAGAAGGAAGAGAAGACAGCTGTGATCACAGCTATAGGGAAACGTAATCGACCGGGAGGGAGAGTCTCTGACGTGGAGATTCGACAAGGAGATATAATGAGGCCTGTGGACAGCAAGCAGGTGAAGCGATTTATCAATGACACTATTTGTCACCACTCTGCTCCGCCATTGACGCCTGGCATGTAAGCTGGCACCTTTCACCATAATCTTTGACAAATCAGGGTATAACAGGACTATAGAATATTGCAATGGAACCTTCCATACGCAGCGTACCGAGCTTCCCTTGTGAGGCAGGACAATCACGCCTCTCCATTCAGCCACAACCCACCAACCCCGCAGTACCTTCACGTCAATAGCCCTGACACATCAGCTGGCCGGGGTGAAATATCAGACATTCTCACTCCGACCTCTGCTTTGATTCGGAGGAAGACATTATTAGACCGGTCCAGCTTGCTTCTACAGGGCCGCAGGGAAGAGTGGTTGGGCGGGTGCAACAACAATGACAGAAGGTAGCAATACCATTCATATCCTCAAGATAATTTGAGTGCTGACCGCCTCCAAGAACCATCTCTGACTGGCTTCATGACTACTGGATGCACTGCTTCATGACAGCCAAATTCTGGGGGGTTGGCCCTCAAGAATGGACAGCGGGACTGATCTCAGAGGTCACAACTGGCTCAGGCGTCATTGGGACACCTGACGCCTTGCATTCGATGTCGCCTTTCGCAAGGGTCTCTATTTTATCACCACAGGAAACCCCTATAACTGAGAATCCACGACCGACAGATCTCTGTCGTTGGGTAATCCACCACGAAGACACGGTAGATTTAGACGATGACTTCACACCACCTTCGCCACCAAATGAGCAAGCTGCCTTTGAGTTGGGGGATCAACCGTCTTAGACCGAATGGCCTACCTCTCAAACTTCTCGGTCCTACCAGAGTTCCATCCAGGAAGCCTTTACATCAAGCCGATTTAGCGCCATTGCACCGAATGAAGTACCGATCAGCAACGAGGTTATTGCGGAGGTCATATCCAAGTCACCTAAGCAACTTTCATTAGATTCATGGGCATTTGCGATAATGACTGGCAATTTGGACCTTCTCGGGAAGCTTCAGCACGAAGCTGGGTCCAAACCCGACCTCGATTTCGCAGAAATCCACCCATATCATCTCGCAGCATCATTCGTCGACGGAGGCAATGTCTGCTGCCTCGTTCTTTGCTACCTTACGAAAGCTTTGAGTTATTCGTATCCGATCGCATTGAAAAACCTTGACTCCAATGGACATACTGTACTAGACGCTCTCATGATTTCGGTCTTGCGTTCCCACACAGATTGTCTACCCGTGGACGTGAGCACAAGCTTTATTCATTGTACTCGTTTCCCGGGCGAAGAGAAGGACATTTGCGGCCACTGGGATGCCGATTCACCAGCTATACGACATCTTCATTCATCTGGACAACCTCGAGTCCCTGCACAGTGGAAGCATGCATTTTGTCACAGTTCTGTGCAGGCTATTTGTCACAACATAATGGCGATCTTCTTATCATCATCGGCGCCGGATATCAACGCTTTCAGCGGCCTTTTCCGACGGCGTTGTACTAGCTGTGGGCTCGAGATGCAGCTGGGGCCATTGCATACTCTTGTAGCCGTTGCATTTCATTTGGCAGAGAACGGCAAGAATGGTGAAACGCTGTTTGGAGCACTGGCTTGTCTAGTTTGTCTTTTGGCACTTGGAGCTGATCCTGCTCAAGTAGCGGATCTATCAGTGCTTGACGTGTTCTCGTCTCCAGATGAGGGAAGTTGTGGTCATCGACCCATGACCGCAATGGAGTTGGCAGAAGAGGTCCCACAAGAAATCATAGATGACTGGACACCTTCTTGTCAGGTTGGCTGGAGGTGCCTGGTGCTGATTCTTCGTCACGCAACGCCATCGCCGCAAGGAGACAGCCCTTTCGGAAAGTTTAGCAACCGAGTCAGCGTCTGCCAGCTTCCCGGCCATGACGAAACTTGGGAGAGCGAGAACCCAAATAGTCATGAGGATCCCGTTTCGTACGTTTACTGTGCCTTCCATAGGTCTCACGGAGACTACTTGAACATGGCCCCCATCAACCAGAACCTGGGCACTCTATGGGCGGCGATCCAAACAGAGCTACACTCATACCGTAAGGTCACTGATCTCGATCCCAACATCTCTGACCACTTTCAGTTATCTTCTCTCTTGAAATGGCTGGAAGAGGAGACTGACGACTTCGAGACTCCACTGCTCACAGAAGATATGATGCAGAGGCATACGCCATGTGGATGGTTTCTCGGGAAACAGAGTTTGTTTGGGGTCATGGCACCCGACATGTGTTCGAGGTATTTCATGAACATGGATATCTGGTCACGGGCCTCCTTTGTGGAGGAAATGGTTCCTGGGGACTGTGAACGTGAAGTCTGACGTTTAGAATCATAAAGAGACTGCGACTTACGTCTATGTAAATCTTTCAAGTGTGAGAATGGTGAGACGCTATACCGAAACATCACCATAGATCTTGTGGCCCAGGCAGTATCAAGGGGGCACCAGGCTACTGATTAGTAACCTTTTCCTACTAGTATGTTGCATCGCTCGGAACAGATGCTATTTTCAAATTCTGATTAATTGAGTTGAACAAAAACATTCAGCCGTTATCATTTGATGACTCTTCTCCGCGCCATCCTTTGCAAAATGGTCAAAATTGTGTCGTGCTAAATGACATGAATATCTCGTGGAACAGATGCCGCTGAAAGCTCTCCATCACATACACCCTGGGGTCCCGACGGCGACTCGTCATGCACTGAATCCACACGGTGTTCTTCTAGTTGATGTACACGTCAGCATGGCAAGCTACGGACCGGGATGGAATGAAATACCATACATTGTGCTGCGTCTATGATGTAGGGACTAAGGCGGAGTTGGATGAAGTCCACCAATCCTCTGAAGAGGAAGTAGGTGGAATGGCAGCTTGTGCGGCCGATAGCGCCTTTCAGACGAACCTTTCTCATGATCACTCGATATCCCAACACTTCTCGTGCCGGGGGTCATCAAGAAAATTGAAGTATGGGTTTCGGAAACCTCGCAGTGGGAATGAAGCCAAAACACTCCAAATGAAAGTCTAATTGGCAACAGCTTAAGATCTCTTCCTCGCTCAGCGGTCTCCTTGCGTATAGACGGTAATTGTTTGACCTCATCTGTCGTAACAGAAGCAAAGGATTAGAAATTTTATCGTCACCCTTGTGCGAAAATTGGGTCGCCGTAGGCTTTCCTCTGACACATACATGCAGTTGATAGTCGTTGCCAAATCGATCTTTCAAGAGTTTCTGGAGCTTCCTCTTGTTGATAAATCGTCCGGCTATTTCTTGTTGCCCATAACTACGGCTATATGCTGATGACGAAGTCGCTGTTGAAGAAAAGCCAGTGCTCTGTCTAGTGGATGGTTGAGAGTAGCTGAAACTGTCGTGACGAGGATAAGTTGATTTTGGGGAGGATGAAAATAAGGCGGTGAGGTAGTTCATCATTGAAGCGAGTGTAAATAGTCGATTCGAGGAGCCACCGTAACAAAGTCTTACTTGATGTGCTCAGAAGTATGGTTGGGTTACTGAGAAAAACATGACGAGGATGCTTCACGGGATTTAAGACGACTGTAGGATCTCTTGAAGTAATACCAGCTCGACTCCCCGTCGGGCACCTACATGTATCAGACTGTCACTATGTTTCACTGAGCGAGTAATTTTGTCCTGCAAGGGAGAAGAAGGACCTCTCATAATTCGTTTTGTTTTTCCTTCATTACGGGTAGATGCGGAGCTTTCAATCAGATTGCATGTTCAACAGTTCCAGCATCTGTTGCATTCCTACTTTTGCTGCGCTGCACCAACCCTGACGTTCGGTATACCCGGGCTTGATAGGATGGTAGTGGTGTGGTGCAGCAGGCTGAGGGCTCGGCGATTATGGTGTGGATGGTCCATGTAAGCATGCGGCATCCTCCCACCATAGAAGGCAAGCGACTTCCAACATGTTCCCAATCTTATCTTAGACCAACCAGAATCTCGGTTTCATTCTTCGGACAAATCAACGATGGACTTTGGTGTTTACGGCCGCCAATTCTGGGGCCTGCCTCGAGCTTCGAATCACGTTTGTCGCGTTTGAATCTGCATTTTGGCAGGAAATTGTGTCTGTCAGCCTACGCATGGCGATGGCTATGTCAATGCCGCGCTAGAGGAGGCAGCAAAGGACTGTTGAGTCCTGCGGCATTTTCTTAACTCAAGAATCAAAAACAAGCCTACGTCCAACTCTTTCGCGGATCATGACCACTACTTTGATCTACACATCCCAACCCCATCCAATCCCGAATGAACCGGTACTGTGTCTTCGACTTCATGAATACACCGAACTACTTCCTCGCGGCATAACTTATCATGGAGCTTTCCTCAAGACTTGAACAGGTGGGTTGCTATCTCACTGCATGCGTTGGACAATTTTCTAGACGTTGCACTACGACAAAGAGGCATGCGCGCTGCAGCCATAGCACATAATCCACCGCCGTGCTTCGTGCGCATAGCGCTGCCTGTTACGGGTTAAAAGCAACCATTCTGCACTTGTCCGATTTTCACATTATTACTGGCCGCTAAGAAATACCTTACAGATCTCCATAACGAGTCCAGACCTCGAGAATCGAACTGGGTTACTGCCTCATTCATTCAATGTCGGCACAGCTAGGGATGTCATCGCCTGCATCCTCTTACGTGCTTCACGCCAAGATCTCAACGATAAACGCAATCGATTCGTTCCACGCGGCAGCTTGATGTCCCAGTTCAACTACGAAAATGTCTCAAGCTTTTTAAGGACATTTGTTTCTTCCGACGAGACTAAAGTCGCCGATGTTGCACGTTTTATTACTCCCAGCGAGCAAAAACGATGTCTCTGTGACGATAATCTGTGTACGGGACTAAGAATAATCTTCGCAACATTATTCTTACTCGGTAAACAGGAACTAGTATTGTAAATTTACCAATCTCCGGTTCATATTTCTGATGGAGCTTGGCTATGTAGCAATCCGACTTCGCCAACCTACTTTTCTCGGGCTGCTGAGGCTCTTCGGGAAGCCCTGCAAGCCCTAGACGCACATGACGAGGAGCTATTCCACCAGCTGCAATGGCATATGAGGTCTCAGTACTTTAGTAAATCGGGCACAAATCCTAACGAGCAGCCTTACCATACATTGCATGATGAAACCACCTTGCGGTGGTCAGAGATCAATATGCAAGGGGAGATACTTGATGGCCAAGTTTCGTTTGTGCAAAAGATGAAGATTCACCGAGATCATCACGACTTATTACATGCAAGTTAGCAGGTCGGTCGATCAGCACTCGCGCCATATGTACTAATGACTTCTCGTGTGCTAGCAAGCCGAACCACTGGTAGATTATTTCGCTTTGAAGATCATCGACAAGGGGCACACGATCGAGGCTGCCAAAATTTCGTTTATGGATGAGATTGCTGCCAACCAAAGGACAACCCATCGCCGCATAACACCGCTGCTCTCTGCCTTCACACACCGAAATCGATTTTATCTCCTGTTCCCTTGGGCTGACGGCGGCAGTCTCTTTGACCTATGGGAAAACCATGACTTATATCATGATTCCACTGAGCATTACCCGCCGTGGTACTCAGTTCAATGGATGATGGACCAATGCTACTACATAGCCGACGCCTTAGTCACGGTACATGGCTATGATTCCCGAGAAGGGGGGCGTTCTTCCGAGGCGCAGCTTCATCTCGATATCAAGCCAGAGAATTTTGTCTGCTTCCGAAAGTCCCAGGGCGGCAAGGTCTCATACGAATTGAAGCTGACAGACTTTGGTCTATCTAAACCTTTTGATCGGAGCTCCTCGATTCGTCCGAAGCAGAAGGCCGAGACAAAGACATACCGGCCGCCCGAAAGAGACCTTGAGGGATCCACAGTGGATGAGCCGTTCGACATATGGTGCTTGGGATGCCTTTTTCTCGACTTCATCACCTGGGCGATAGAGGGGTGGGGTGGAGTCGAGTGCTTCCGCGAAAGCCGCCTTCTAGAGACAGACGAGATCGATGTCGACCCAGAGTTTCCTCCGGTACTGGAAGATACATTCTTCAAAAAGAGGGTGCAACGAGGGGCATGGTGGTGGCCAAGAAGTGTTCCTCGGACCATTGTCGCAGATCTGAAGCCCTCGGTTATTTCGGTGAGTGCTTAAACATCAAATGACCCACGATTCTGCCTAATTTTGTGATGCTGATGGAAGTTTGGTGTGAGCAATTCCAACATCTCCGCAACCATGCACGATGCACAGAGGACTTGGAGAGATTTCTTAGTCTCGTCCAGTCAAGAATGCTGCTCATCGACGGCAGTGCGCGAGCAGCCTCGAATGAGGTTCGAGATACCCTGCAGGCTTGGAAACAGAGCTTCAAAGAGTAAGGTAGGGAGTTGAGACTCGAAGCCTCCATCCGACTGGCGCGTTCATGGACGAATGAATCAAGGTCTTCCATGGTGGTTCTAAAAAGCCTGCAGATGCAATGTGGAAGACCGGATGCTGCAGCACCCCAACCTTGGATATGCGAGATAATATGGCAAAGACGTGGCACTCAAGGATTGGAAATCCCCGCTTCACTCTTGAACGCGGCAAGTGTGAGAAAGTAGTAAGTAGAACGCGCTGCATGCCTGTTTCTTTTTGGAAGATGGTAAAGGTGGCACCCGGGTACCAAAATAAAGCGCACACCTAACAAGCCGCCACATAGAACAGCACTTTTTTCAGTAAATTCTTATTAATTAAATATATAAAAAACTCTAAAGTCCTTATTGAGAGCTTTAATATTTCCTATATTTTTAATATTATTTCTTAAATTATGGTTAATATTGAGGAGGTAGTAGAAATTGAGGTGGAGGATAGGATGGTTGTACTGCTTGGTCCAAAGTGTTCGCTTTTTTTTTTTTGGTCCCCGGGTGGGTGGTCATTTGGTGTCGCCCTGGACAAATATCTTGTATTTCAGTTTCACGAACGTCTATGTAGCTGCTCCTGGTGCATGTTGGGAAGAGGCGCCGTGCATAGGCACCACTCATCGATGGTACAGTAGCTAGCGAAAAGGGCTTCATCCCTTTCACAACTCTCTAATCTCTTTCCGCACGGACGTCTGTCTTCTTGGCACCAACACAGTTTGATCTCACACTGCTGTACCGACCCACTGTGGAGGCCTTGCTGACAGCTTTCGCCCCACCTGATCCAAGTGTTTGGAAAATAGATTATGCACAACATTATTTGCTGCTCAATGTTTGCTTCTGCTGCTTCAATTGCTTATGGCCTGCTTATTTTCACTTGGTGCTTTTTTCCCCGGTCTTACACATAAATACAATCTACATGGTCCCCAGGGTTTTAGAGATTCCACTATGAAATTAGGATAAAAATTCAAAGTGAATAACTAACAAATAGAAAGTACAAAAGAGCTGCTCGGCCTAATAGAGACCCAAACGATTAATTCACTCCGCAAAGTGGCGAACTGCTTGATGTCACGTGACCCGTCCGATGGCTTACTTGACTTCTACCTGGCCTGACCATACTCAAAATCTTGCGCCAGTTGTGAGTCTGGATTACTGGATCGTGGAATCAGCAACATCCATATCTTCTGGCAGGTGTCCCCAGCCATATGGGTCTCTTGCCAACTGGGTCCGTGCACGACAGGAGCTTAAATTGGCTCCCTTGTCATCAGGCTAGGGTCTGATTTTGCCGACCAGCCCACTTCGGATGACCTGGCCCTGGCCTAGATTATTAAAGTAGAAAACGGCCTTTGTCCTGTGGATCGTGCTAAGCCGACGAGGCCCTTCATCCAAGTTTGGAGCACATTCAGGATAGAAACATCTCCGCCAATATCAGCCATCTAGATGTTTGATAAATTACGATGCAGCACCCGACGAAGCGAGCCATCTAGGCATTACTGAGCGACCTATTAAGAATTATATCACGGATAAAGAAATGCTGCGAGGCTGTAAGATTAGGCTCTATGGCGGGCAGGAAGATATATGTTATAGACGGGAGAATGGTTAACGGTAAATCGTGGTTCGGGGATTTATCCAAGCTTAGCTTCTAGAAGATTCGATGCGAATACAATGCCCTCTGTTGTAGAATCGATTCTGCTATTTTCGTTCACTTGAACTAAGGCCAAAGCAGAGTAGCGCGCTTTAACAACGGATGAATGTTCTTATGGCTGGGAGTATTTTGCGCTGTCCATCCCTTTCTATGGCTTACCCATTTAACGTTACCCAATGCCTCGGCCCCTATAACCGCAGACTGTCGGATTGGAATTCCAATTCGACTGCGAGTCAGGAGGCAGCGCAAGGGCCAGCCCGACCCTCAATTAGACCTCAACTACCCCTCCAACCTCCGGTTGGAATCTCCCTCTTACACGGTTACGCAGAATCAATCAATATACAGGAATTGACCCTTCGTCACCCACAGAGCCCATAGGTTCGAACCAACTACCCTGTGATAGGGAGACCAACACAGACCTTTCCATATTATAAGACCATCACCGATTTTACCTGATAGCTACTGTCAACCGTCACTTCCTGAGAATTGTTATTATTTAAGCTCAGTGCACGTAATGAAGTCTTCTACACACTGGGCAGTCATAGGTCATGAGGTTGATTTGTCAGCGATATGCCGCGCTGCTGCGCCGCATAAGGCTGTCGATTAGGATGTCAACCCCTCCTTTCCGTCAGCAAGGAGAAAGATAATCTCCGACCTCCAAGTTCCCAGCTCTCGACAGCAGAGCATGAACGCGTTTGCGCGATAACAAAGTTTGACGACAACATGATATGACGCACCCCGACCCTAACGAGGCGTGATATTCACTTGCATTCAATAACTTACGGCGATGACCAAGTACCCTCAACCACGCCGTCTCGAAGACTTCCGTATCGCTATAATATGTGCACTAGCCCGCGAATACGATGCTGCCATCCTGGCTTTCGATGAGATATGGAACAACGATAGAGATGGGTGCGGACCTGCGCTCAGGCAACACAATAATCACCTGCTGGGGCGGATTGGAGTCCATGATGTTGTTTTGGTCCTTCTCCCCAACATGGGAAAGGTCACCGCAGCCAACGAGGTAGTCCGGCTCCGATCTATATATGTTGGGTTAGAGATGGCCTTCTTGACTGGGATCTGTGGGGGAGTGCCTAGCCCGGGCACCGATCATGAACTACTGCTCGGGGATGTGGTGATTGGTAAAAGCATTATGTAGTATGACCTAGGCCGATAGTACCCTGGTAAGTTTCGTAGGAAAGACGGTGTTGAAGACAACCTGAGCCGACTCAACAAAGACGTCCGTTCTTTTCTCGCCACCTACGAGACGTAATATGGCCGGAACGACTTACAGCGCCGGATTACCAAAGTCCTTAACCAAGTCTAATAGATGGCCATTGATACATAAGACCGAATCTGCTATGACCGTCCTGCGGCCGAAGAGGACTCACTTTTCGAGCCGGATTATCTTCATAGACACCGAGATCAGCTAGGCTGTGGTTGTAGCGAATCTACTGCGTGTGACGAAGCGATCAAAGCGTCGTGCGACGAGCTTGGATGCGATGTCGCACATTAAGTAGTAAGGACACGACTGGAGTCTACGATGTTCGAGTTGCGAATATATATTGGGCGCATCGGCTCAGGTGATACGGTGATGAAATTAGGCGAACACCGGGACAGGGTTGCTTAAGAGCATAATATTATCGCCTTTGAGATGGAGGGGGCGGGCGTTTGGGAGGAGATCCCGTGTATTATTGTTAAGGGGGTATGTGACTACGCCGACAGTTACAAAAATAAGTTGTGGCAGGACTTCGCCGCTGCAATGGCGGCCTCAGCGATAAAGGCGCTGATGGAGCGCTACGTTTGTAGGATTCCTAGGACAATCTGTACGTGACCAAATCCTAAGCCCTTAGCTGCTGCTAACGCATGCTGACTGATGTTAATTTAGCCGACCCTACTCCTGCTATGTATATGCTTGCCCCTGTTTTGTTAGGCGTTGTAGGGGTGAGTCGCTTCGTTGGTAGAGACGACGAACTTGGATGTCTGCATGAGGCGCTGAAATGGACGGGTGAGCGCCGCACCGCCGTGCTGCAGGGTCTAGGTGGTATGGGAAAAACTTAGTTGTCGATAGAGTATACGAAGCGGTATCGTAGCGACTACTCGGCCATGCTTTGGCTGAACGCAAGGGACGAGACATTATTGAAGCAAAGCTTATAATAAGCGGCGCAGCGAATCTTGCGGGAATACCCGACTGTGGCATATGTATAGAATGTCATGGTAAATCAGGACCTTGACGAGACGACGGAAGCAGTTAAGCGATGGCTGGGTGAAGCGAGGAACGACCGCTGGCTCGTTGTCTACGATAACTAGGACGATGTCAGATTTGATCGCCGCGGCGGTGCGGGTCAAAGTGCCCAATCTATTGCGGAGCAGGGTGGGACTGCATCTGGCAACACAAGCCAACCGGAGGCAGCATATTCAAAGGCGTACGATATCCGTCCGTACTTCCCTGAAACCGACCACGGCGCCATCATCATCACAACCCGATCCGCAACAGTGAAACTCGGGCAGTTGATCCGGCTGAGTAAGCTAGGCGACGTCAATGACAGCTTGGCTATACTGGAGTCAACATCCAATCGTGCCCATCTGAGCCAGAGTAAGTATTTCGAACGAGCAGCGTAGGTGGGGCTAATTCATCAAAATAGATCCTGATGCTTATACGCTTGCGCGGCGACTTGACGGCCTTCCGCTTGCCCTGTCGACGGCTGGAGCGTACCTCAACCAAGTGTCGACGAGCTGCGCTGAGTATCTCCGGCTGTACGACGAATCATGGCTGCGATTACAGAGAGAGAGTCCACAACTTCTGGATTACGATCAAGCGTTGTATTCGACGTGGGGTATCTCATTCAACCTTATTCAGCAGCAAAGCAGAGGTGCAGCTACCCTCCTTCGACTTTGGGCATACTTCGATAACGAGGACCTATGGTACGAACTGTTGCAGGATGTGGGTTCAGAGGGGCCGGTTTGGCTACAAGACATAACGAAAGACAACTTGATCTTTAACATAACAATGAGACTTCTTTGCGAACATGGACTAGTAGAGGCGGACCTTATTACAAAAGAGACTGAGGGAGAGTCCCGAGGATACAGTGTGCATGGATGTGTCCATGCGTGGATGATACACGTGCTGAACACGGGAGTCGACGAGGAGATGGCTTGGACAGCATTGAGGTGTATAGCATCTCATGTCCCAAGCAACGAGCAGCAAGAGTATTGGATAGTACAAAGACGACTTTTACAACATTCAGACCGATGCATCACAAAGATAGCGACAGATGCGGCGGAGGAAAAAGATGCATGGATGTTTCACGAACTAGGCATCCTCTACTCGGACCAGGGCCGACTCAAAGAGGCCGAGGCCATGTACGAGCGGGCTCTTCAAGGCAAGGAGAAGGCACTAGGGCCAGACCACACGTCAACACTCGACACGGTCAACAATCTAGGCAACCTCTACAAGAACCAGGGCCGACTCAAAGAGGCCGAGGCCATGTACGAACGGGCTCTTCAAGGCTACGAGAAGGCATGGGGACCAGACCACACGTCAACATTCTCGACGGTCAACAATCTAGGCCTCCTCTACTCGGACCAGGGCCGACTCAAAGAGGCCGAGGCCATGTACGAACGGGCTCTTCAAGGCTCTGAAAAGGCACTAGGACCAGACCACACGTCAACACTCGACACGGTCAACAATCTAGGCAACCTCTACAAGAACCAGGGCCGACTCAAAGAGGCCGAGGCCATGTACGAACGGGCTCTTCAAGGCTACGAGAAGGCATGGGGACCAGACCACACGTCAACACTCGACACGGTCAACAATCTAGGCCTCCTCTACTCGGACCAGGGCCGACTCAAAGAGGCCGAGGCCATGTACGAACGGGCTCTTCAAGGCTACGAGAAGGCATTTGGAGCAGACACCATAAAGACCTATATTCCTGCCTTGAACGCACTTCAAAATCTCGGCTCTTTGTTCGAGATGCTTGGCGAGAATAGCAAAGCTATGTTATACTACCTAAAGGCACAGAACGGCTTCTTATCTGTACTAGGGTCACAGAACGAGCGATATAAACATTTATCTGAGAAAATCCGTTTATCACAGCTTGTTATACAGGAGATAGATGTTTCGCTTCGCGTACAGAAGCCAGGACGAGGGCTGAAAGCCAAATGGAGGACATTGAAGGGACATCTAAAGGGGGGCTAAACATACTTCAGACTATGTTACGTGCTAATTATAGTAGAGCCATAATAACCATTACTGAGCCAAGTCCCGCCTTTCCCCCATACTAGCATCTATGAATCGTAATCTCCTGTACTACGTGCATTATAGCGGGTTCTCTGCACAAGTGGATTTTCTGCAAATAAAAGCCAAAAAGAGCTGCAAATGGGGCCAGCCTGTTTAAGCTATTGGATATACTTCAAATGATAAGATAACAAATCGTACTGTGTAAGCGCCAAGAACTTTGGATGTCCGTGCGGAAAGAGATCAGAGATTTGTAAAAAGGATTAAGCCCTTTTCGCTGACTACTGTATGACCAACAGGGCATCTCAACTCAGTACCATCATGTCATGCCCAAGCTGATGGGCAAAGCGCCCGATGTCCATTTCCACCAGCGTCAAGGCAAACTTTATTCCTCTTCTTCTTCAGAATCCTCATCTTTGGCCTTCTTGAGAGCAGCATGAACTTTCTCCATTTCCTCCTAGTTACGGGTTAGATGATGATGCAATGAGAACGAAATCCCATGCAAGAGATTGACATCTGGACTCACCGGGGTCAACTTCCGAGGAAGCTGAACCTCAACGCAGTCGGCTTTTGTTGCCTAAACCAGTAGTCAGTAAATTGTCTTAAAGCGACAGGACTCGTGAACTCGGCGACATCTTACTTTCATCTTGATCGTGTCCTTGGGAAACTTGAAGCTTAAGAACTTTTTTGCAAAACCTTCTTGTTTGCATATCGATTCATTATTTTGTCGGTCGCGACAAACTGGCCAGGGTTGGACATTTTCTCTTGTCTGCCGAACGCCGGGATGTAGCTCTTGAGCCTCGATGCCCAAGATCGGATATTGGTGTCATCCATGTAAAGCAACGACGGGCTATTCAGAATACTATCACAAAGCGAGGTAGCAAGTGGAAGACTTGTATGGTAGAAAGTGGCTTGATTCCTCTAAGTGGAAGACCCGTATGAGGGTCCTATCTATATACCGTACAAGACGGGTAATCGGCTTGTGGAAAGCGGTATCGTACGGCAGTAACCGGCAGCGCCACGTGTGGCGCTGCGACAAATACAAATACAAGTTTCCAGGCTGGAGAATCTGTTGTCTGGTGAAGGCTTCGCGAGTTATACCAAGAGGGTGCACACTTCAATTCTCGCACTTTGGTCTATGTCAGCAGGGCCGTGTGCTCTCCAGGCTCCAGCGAGGCAAAGTGCAATTGTTGGTTTTGCGAACCATTGAAGTTGGCTTCGGTGTCAGCCAGATAGGTTAGTGGCTGAGTTTCCGAGGCATTTTTTCAGGCGCACAACTACATGGGGCCATAGCCGGGCAAAGGGCTTATCATCACATGTACTTTCACCGGTGGGAGCGAAAGGGTGTCGGGCCGTCGGGTAAGGTCACAGACGACTTCTATTCCACGTCCATTACACCAGATAAGTTGCGCTAAAACAGCAGGTTGCGTGCCAAGACATAATAGAGAGTCGGCATATCATCTGTCACTAGACTCTTGTCGTGTGGTCACAATGTGGGCATCGAGATGTTTGATAGAGAACGGTTTTCCATTGAAAGTAGAGAATAGGTACGAAGCTCGCTCTGAAATAGGTGATGCGAGCGAGTGTGGGCCTCGGTGATTATGTAACCGAGGTCACGTGACGGGTAGTGAGGCCACAGATGGTTGAAGCCATCACGACAACTCTCATTGTCGGTGTTGCCCCTCGTGGCTCTCTGCGACCTGGCCAGGCTCTCAGGAACATCCTAGCGGCCTGGCAGCCCAAACCTGAGGATCGAGTACTGATTGCGGGGGATTTTAACTTACACCATTAGACGTGGCAGCCCGAGGCCACGAGTTCCCCGGACGCTGAAAACCTAGTAGAATGGGCAGAAGCCGCTAGCCTTGTCCTAATGTCACCTATAGGTGAACCTACGTATAAAGGCGGCAATACCCTAGATTTATGCTGGGCGTCCAGCAACCTCCATGGGGCTTCTACCAGCATAGAAACGTCACTACATACGACATCAGATCACGAATCTCTGCTTACCCGGGTCCCCTTGGCCCTGATCGATTCACCCAGCCAGACCCCGGGAAGGTTTCGGCTCGACACGATAGACGAGGAGCTTTTCCTCGGCATCATTAAACGCAACTTACAACCCATATGCCGCACTGCAAGCAACATCCAAGACCCACAGTCTTTAGATCTCCTAGCACAACAGCTTACGGACTGTCTTATTAAAGCACTCACGGCTTCCACAAAGCGCACGCTCGGGAAAGGTACAGGGAGACCATACTGGAGCGAGAGCTGCACACGTAAACACCGAGCCTATGCGAGTAAGCGAGCGATGTTAGCAAGACTCCGCGCAGCCGGAGTGAACTGCCAATGGGAAGAAGAGGAGGTCGAAGCTCTAAAACAGGACTTCCTCTACGAGTTTAAACGCTCCAAGGATGCCTTTTGGAAAGATAAGATCTCCTCAGCCTCCTCAAGCAAAGACATATTTGAAATGGTCGGTTGGCACAAAGCCACAGGATCCTTTCAGACCCCGCCACTCCGAGATGTAGACAACCAAGACACGCTTGTCTCACAACCAAAAGAGAAGCGCGACTTATTTACCCGCATCCTCCTTAGAAACGCTGCAATCTCCGAGGACATACCAACAGAAAGCCCAGTCCTACAAAGGCAAGCTACGCTTCCTTTCCCGCAGGTTACGAAGGACGAGGTACGGTCTTCGGTTCTCACCGCGGGAAACACGACTCCTGGGACCGACGGAATCACTACGACTACTTTGAAAATAGCATGGCCAGTTATTGAGGATATTGTCCTCTCACTTTATAGCGGGTGTATACGCGAGGGTTGGCATCCTACTTGTTTTAAAGAAGCAACTCTCGTGATCCTAGCAAAACCAGGAAAAAGAGACAAGACACTCCCGCGCTCCTATAGGCCAATTGCGCTCTTGGCCGTCCTCGGAAAAGGCTTGGAGAGACTCATCGCCAGACGACTTACCTGGATCGCAGTTAAATATCGTGTTCTGCACGATCAACAGTTTGGAGCACTCCCTCTTCGCTCTTGCAGCGACCTCATCGCAGCGGCCATCCACGACATCGAGTGCGCCTGGCAAAGAGGCCTGGTTACCTCTATACTTACGCTCGATATAAAAGGGGCTTTCGACGCCGTGCTCCCAGGACGACTGGTCCGACGCCTCTGCGAACAAGGATGGCCGGAGAACCTCGTACGCTGGGTCTCAAGTTTTGTTACCGGAAGGAGAGCAAGAATAAGGCTTGATGGGGAGGTAGGAGACGTCTTCGGTCGCGAATACGGACTACCACAAGGCTCACCCGTGTCTCCCATTCTATTCATGCTCTATATTGAACCTCTTTTCAAGCTAGGCATAGCTCACCTAGGAAGGAAGCGATCTCGTTTCGGCTACGCCGATGACGTCGCTATCTTGGTAAGCTCAACATCACTAGAGAACAACTGTGACATCCTAACCAAGGAATAGAAAGAAACCTTAGGATAGGGCGCGACGGAAGGAATCACTTTTGACCTCGATAAGTCCAAACTGATCCACTTCACTAAGAGACGAAAAGACGGAAACCTATTAATCACAGTAGGTTTGCCGGATGGGAGGTATTATATAGTTCAGGATATCAAAGAAGGCTCTTCTCTACGCTGGCTCGGCGTTCACTTCGACCGTAAACTCACATTCAAGAGTCACGTAGGAAACCTCTCTGCAAAAGCATGCTAAGTAGTCAATGGACTACGGGGACTAGGGAACACTGTCTGGGGCGCGCCTGCGTACTTACTTCGTCGAGCGATTACCTCTTGTGTATTACCCACTCAGTACTATGCATCTGAAGCATGGTGGCCCGGCAAGAGCCGGATAAAGAATGGACGTACTATCTCAAACGGGGTTGGTAGTCTGCTACACTAACTGGACGCGACGCAAACCAAAGCCATCAGAGCGATGGTCCCCGTATACAGAACTACGCCTGTATCGATCCTACAGCGCGAGGCGGCTCTACCCCCAGCAGAGGTGATACTGGACGCGAAGCTCCACACAGCGTCCACCAGAATCCATCGTCTGGACGAGCGACACCCTCTCCGAACGAGACTCAGGGACAAATCAGGACCAGACTCACGGCTACGACGAATGGCAAGCCTCGTAAGCAAAAATACCGAATACATCGATCCGATAGAACTCCCCCCTTGGGAGCAACTAGCGGACTGGCAGACAGCCCTCGCCAGGGTCGGCTACGAACCTAATAAGACCAAAGAAGAACAGGCCCTCTCCTTTGCAGGCAGGATGGCAACTTTCTCCAAGCGGGACATTGTTATCTACACTAACGGGGTCCCAGATATCGGACGGCAGCAGCACCTCCGCCGGAGCAGGCTGGGTAGGGTACCAAGCTACACGGCAGATCTTCCGCGGATCCGAACCACTCGGCTCCTAAACTGAGGTGTATGACGCGGAGGTACATGCTACGTATCACGGCCTGATGGAAGCCACCCGGGCTCCTACGGCTCGTATGGCAGATAACGTCCACATCTACCTCGACAACCTCGCAGTCGCGGCTAGACTATACTCCCAGAGCACAGGAAGCAGCCAGGCTAGATTTAGGGCCTTCAATAGGCTCTCTTCCTCCTGGACTCGGAGACAAAGAGAGAGCTGGACAACCCCCGGCAGGGTTTATGTTTGGTG